GGTCGTGCGGGTCGTTTTCAGACTCTAAAACAGCGTCGCTTGTTCTATGCGGGGTAGGGAGGGCCGCCCCCCCCCTGGTTTGCACCCTGTGTTTAAAGATAATGTCGTTATAATTTCAAGTGATCCTTCATTTTAGAAAAAGACATGCCCGATTCACAACGGTACCCTTTAATCCTGTACCGGATCAATAATGTACAAGATGTCATCGTTTTGGATGCCAGGAAAGTTTTTTATTCTGACAAATCCTCAAGTGTTTCTGTATCAGATATTCGCAAGTCACTTGTACAGAGAAACGAGAATTGAAAATATACAGTTTTCAAAGTTTAAAATATGTATTTTGATCATGCAAAGCTATTAAGGTCTCACCACTGGAAATCGCACATGCCACCGTCCCTCTGTTACAGGGTTATCCACAAAGAATGAGACTTTACGATTGTAAATAAAGTATTTTATACTGTCTGTTTCCATACAGTATGATTCCCTGCAACTGTAAACTTGGTTCTTTTTTGTATAATAACATTGGTTAAGCCATACAAAGGTTATATTCAAGGCAGACAATTGAATTTAACCTTGAAATCGTCAACTTTAAAGTTTTAGGTCGTCTTTACAGTCTCATCCTGTGTAGAAAATCCTGTAGGTTTCTGGTTTAATTTTCTAGGAGAAACGAATTAAGAGTTCTTTCATTTCATTTAATTAATTGATTTTTGTTTGCTCATTATACTTCAAGAGAAAGATATTTACTTCTGAAGCTCTGAGAGAAGGGGTAGAGAGGGATCGGTGAAAGGGATAGAGGGGGGGGGCAGATAGCAATTCTAAGTTAAGTTTATGTACTTTGTTGCATCAAGCCTAGACGATCGAGATAGCTCTAATATCGTCTTCATATTCCACAGTTTTCTTGTTCTCACTGTATTGCAATGAAATATTTGTAGTATTATTTAATGATTTATGGGTTTCCGCATTAATTTTCAAAAGTTTGCATGTCTAGCTGTCCAAGTGTAAATAACCCGAATTCGCATTAAATTTCGCTCAACTTTTTGCCCATCAAAATATGGCAATTGACTCATTAATCAGGAACTTTTAGTTTCATCAATGAGCCAGAATATCATTTTCTTATTTTCTAAAATTTTTTTTTGAATAAATGTAGATTTAGTATAAATAAATGATAAACCTTTAATTGCCTAGGATACTGGTCCGGTGTGTGGAACTGATGGCAAGATTTACAAGAATGAATGTCTCATGAGAAAAGAAAATTGTGGAGACGAAATAAGGTAAAATTTGATTTTTCAATTTTTTTTTTAAATGTTACGCAGTTATTTACAACGCAGTTAAGATAATTCATGATATGGGTTTTACGTAGCTATTTACAAGCTTAGATAATTAATAGTGTACAACGAAGTTCAGGTGTACGATATTCAATACATACATTCCCAGGGGAAATTTGGGTAGATACTTTTTATAATTTGTAATTTTGTAAAGAGATCATTAGTGCACAATGGATGGATATCCATGCACGTAGATCCAGACTGCTAGGAAAAGTTCCATACATTTTTAAGACTGGGTCGACTTTGAAGGGTCGCAACGCCCCGGCCTTTGTTTTTAACTCACAAACTCATAATTTTTTGTAGCCCTAGGCATTTTAATTTTAGAACTGAATAAACCCATGTTTTTAGTTATAGTTTTTGAAAACAAAGATATAAGACACTTAGATTTGGAGGAGATGAAGTACCTTAAATAAGATAATTTAAGCTAATTTCTTACTTTTTCGACACAAAAGTTTATGCAACTTCTTTCCTATACCCAAAATGTCGTTGTTTGTACTCATTACAGAAAAATATTTAAAGTTTCCGGCATTCATTTTTTTCTGCGTAGAACAGAGAACAGAAAATAAGTTTTTATTTTTGTCCCGTTTATATAACTGCAAAAATATACCTGACGGAGAAATCTGTGGGTTTCGCGGTTTAACTTTAATAAAGCTGAATATCTCTTTAATATAGTCGTAATTCTAAGTGACCCTCAAATAAAAGAGGATTATGCCAGATCAAAAAGTAGCAAGCTCTCACCGCAAAAATCTATGGAAATTTTGCCAATTATTCTGACAAAATAATATTCATGAAGCAAGCAATCCGCAAGTAAATTTTTTTAAGAAACCAAAATTGAAAATCATAACTTTAAAAATTGTTATATCTGATCAGACAAAGCTTTTAAGGATACTGTTGTGAATCGGACATGCCACTCTATCAATGGAAATTACGTTTAAAATTCCTTGAAATCCTGTCTTTTTTAATTATCAGTTTATTCCCGGAAGTAAACTTAAATCCTTAAATGAATACGATCAATTCTGTTAAATCAAATAGTCAAAGTTTGAAATATTAAAGAGAATTCTGTTAAATCAAAAATCTAAGTTTGAAATATTAAAGGGAATTCTGTTAAATCAAATAGGCTAAGTTTGAAATATTAAAGGGAATTCTGCTAAATCAAACAGGCCAATTTTTTGAAATATTAAAGGGAATTCCGTTAAATCAAATAATCTAAGTTTGAAATATTAAAGGGAATTCTGTTAAATCTAAAAGAATAAGTTTGAAATATTAAAGGGAATTCTGTTAAATCAAATAGTCTAAGTTTGAAATATTAAAGGTTTACACCATCAGATTGCAAAATAACATAAAAAAAGACAAATATAACGACTGACTATATATTTTAATCTAAAGTACAACAAGGATTATCTATTTATATTTATATTTGGTTTGGAATGTCTAACTTCCGGATGGAAGACGATATTTTGGTATCCTCTACAATACTGCATATTTATGTTACAATATTACACATTTGTATTGCGATATTGTACATTTGTATTACGATATTGCACATTTGTATTACGATATTGCACATTTGTAATACCATATGCATATTTGTATTGCGATATTGCACATGTGATTTCCGATATTGTACATTTATATTACAGCGTGGCTGACTGGACCGTGTGTTCTTCAGTAAATGGATCTGCATGTGAACATAAATGTGACAAGGTAAAAATTCACTTTATCATATTTTTTAATTCAAAAAAAGAATTGTCAACAATACTATGATACGTAATTTCAAACCAACGAATTACACATCTTACAGGATGTCCTAAAGAAAATTATAATGAAGAGGGTAAAATGACTGTAAAGGAAAAATTAAGGGGGTCATAATGACGAAATGAATTCAAACAGGGCAGGCTAAATTTGTACACTATACTAACGAAAAAATGTCTCGTAAATGAGTTGAGTTTTTGCCACAAACTTTGATTTTCTAATCTCTATATCTTTGTAACCAAATGTCGTAGACCTTAGATATTTCAAACTATTAATACTTATAGATAAAATAATCTAAGTTTGAAATATCATAGGTTTACACCATCATGATGCAAAGATATTGGGATCAGAAGATTTGAGTTTGTGGCAAACACTCAATTCCTTTACGATGATTTTAAAGTTGTCAATTCGTGTTCATGCTTATTTGGATCCTCTTGTTCAAGTGATATTTTCTCTATTAGAACGAAAGATTTTTAAAATTCTAAATATATTTTTTTCTGTATAATTTTTCTTTATCTAAAAATATTTTACATAAATCGATCTGTCTACTCAATCACTTTTCCATACTAGAAAACCGGTTAAAAGCAGAGAAATCTGGTAAAAGAATAATTTTTCAAATTTTGATATTTTGCTGTTACAAGCTTAGCTTATGTCTTTAAAGTTAAAAAACATAATTCAAACTAAAAAAGTTCAATTTTGTATTTCTATAACAATTTTGTAACAATGACAAAAAATCAATGATACAGGGTGTCCCACGAAACATGGCAGTAGCAAAGCGAAGTGAAGGTCGTCTTTGAACTTAATTTGCAACATTAATTTGTAAACCTTAATTCAGAAGTAAAATTCTAGAGTTAATAATCGCAAAATACCCCTAGTCTTGGCATTTCCAAAATGTAGTCTGCCTTTTTCGTGCTTTCATTCAGACTTAGACCATTTCGGTTTTATTTGATAAAGTTGAAATCTGAACGAAATTCTTGGGAATATTGACAGCACAAAATAGCAGCCCACATTTTGGAAATATCAAGGCTCGGAGAATTGTATGGTTTTTGTTAAGAATAAGACATGTGAAAGTAGGATGACGACTTAATGTCACAAATAATTTAAAAGTTTAAAAGTCGTCTTGCTACTGTCATGTTTCGTGGGACACCCTGTATAAAGTGTGATATTTTCTCTACTTGTGGTAAGGTTGAAAGGTTTTTTAAAAATCTTAAGTTAGTTTTCATTTTAATTAATTTTTTATATTTTGCAAACATTCGCAACTTAATCTCTTTGGGGTAAAAAAAGATTTAAAATTAAAAACGTACATAAAAATTTTAAAAGTTTAATTTTGTTTTTACATTTTTAACTTTTTTTTTGATAAAAATTATCGTCTAAATATCTAAATTTATTTTTCATTTAAATTTATTTTTTCTTATTTTTTAATGCTTTTGAACAAAAAGAGCTGTTTACTTTTCAAAATTCTAAAAAACTGGTTATAACTGGAAAAAAAACTTGTTATAACTAGTAAAAAATACGTTTTTTCAATTATTTTTTATATTAAAAAATTTATTTATTAATTGGTTCATAAAAACACTTCTAAACAATAACATGCCGAAGGGGTAAAAGTTGTGAACATTTAGATTTTTCAGATTCATTCAAAACTGAATGTTTAGAGAAATAGATGGAAGGAAGAAAAAATTTACTTTTCTCATCCAGTGGTCAGCATATATTTCAATATATGATATTTCCATGATATCATGACGTCTTTTTATTTTAGCAGCTAATCAAAATAAGTTTGAACTGTATATAAAGGGAGTGTTCACGAAAAATGAAAGAAGGTATTTTAGGCTTACGATGGGTATCGATTTTTTTCAATGCTTTCATAAATTATTGATATTTCATATCATTTACTATTTTTTATTTTTTTAAATTAATATTTCGCTTACAACTTGTTTTCACGGCTGACGCTGGATTTTCGAAGATTCCTGGAATCCCTGAGCCGGCGATTTAAAAAATTCAAGAAAATACGACTCGGGTCTAAGCTGTTGTTGAGCCTTATTTACGGCTCGGGCTTTCGAATTTAAGTTGCATCTATTTTTCAACAGAGTTTAGTTCATAAAACCGGTTTAATGTTGTATTTGGCGGATTTTCATAGTTGGAATTGGTGCATTCTGAGTTTTGATGAGAATAAGACCCAACATTGAGCCTTATTCTTCACTAAAACCAACCAAGGTCGGTTTTATTTTCATTGGGCCTAACTCCTTAAGTCGAGCCGAAGATCTTGCAGCTGTCAATCACGTGACACAAGCTGTCGTTAGAGTTGGGTCTAAGATTGGGTCTTAAAGTCGGGTTTAAGGAATTAAGACTCGAGCTTTTAAATCGCGGGCTCTTGTGCACTCTGGAAATATAAAAAATGTTGTCAATATAAAAAATCCTCGAAACAGGAAAACAAAAGTAACTCGCAGATAAAAGAGGGGGGGGGGGGGGCACGCGTATGGGGGGGGCCAGGCACCCAAGCCCCCCCCCCTTCTCGTACGCCCCTACTTACATTGTAAGGTCTAGGTCGCTTGAAATTATGCTTGCAATTAGGCGAAATTGAAAATAGGATTTTGAGTCAAATCTCGCAAATAAAAAACAATTTAAAAAAAGTTTTTTCTTACTATCTACTATTTCATAAATATGATAAGAAATATGAATCATGATATTATAGGTGATTAGTTAAATAAATGGCCGGCATTGATAAATTGTGTAACCCAATAATCGTGTAGGAAACAAATCTAATCTTCTTTCTCTTTGCTAATCTCACACAATTCAGATATATCTAATCTTTATTCTCCGGTAGTTTGACTGAAAAATATAGAAAATATACAATACATTTAAGGACAAGATATAAACTTAAATATAAATTTTACAAATCTACATACCATAAACACTCAGGTTAGCTCCTACATCCAGGGTTCCCATACAACTGATCTAACATATGCTAAGATGTTTTCATGTTAACTTAGAAAGAGGAGTAATCTCATTGTTTGTAAACAAAGACCGGAATATTTTGAAGTCATACATAGTACATATAGGGTCGGTGTAACTTTTATATATGCAGAAATAATAATGCTATCCATCACAAAATGTGATATCCACTCAACATAAATATTTTGTGCAAAAATAATTGAATTAGTCGTCAAAAGATAAGGATATATTAAAAGGTACTGTAAGCATAGTTTTAACCACAGGATTCCTTTATATTGTAGATAATTCAATATTTGGAACAATTTTCTAAATTGTAAAATTATGCCCTCACAGTTTAGACGGTTATTCACTATATAATTATAAGGTCTTATATTTCTTTCAAAAAAACATTTTCCCAAAAATGGAAAAATGAAATTTTTATTAGGTGTTGACATTTTTTATTTAGAAGTCTAATTACATATCTATTTAAAGGTCTATTTTCAGGTTTATTTACAGGTCTATTTACAGATTTATTTACAGATCTATTTTCAGGTCTAATTACAGGTCTATTTACAGATATATTTACAGATCTATTTACTGATCTACTTACAGATCTATTTACAGATCTATTTACAGATTTATTCACAGATCTATTTACAGATCTATCTACAGGTCTATTTACATACTAATATACAGGTCTATTTACAGATCTATTTACATATTTATATTTACAGGCTTATCTACAAATCTATTTACATATCTATAATTATACAGATCTATTCACAAATATATTTACAGATATAATTACAGATCTATTTACAGATCTATTTACAGATCTATGTACAGATCTATTTACAGATATATTTAAAAATCTATTTTTATTATTAAAGATCCATTTTTATATCTATTTACGATGTATGTATTTACTGATCTATTTACAGATCTATTTACAGATCTATTTACATATATATTCACAGATATATTTTAAAATCTTTTCACAGATCAATTTATAATCTATTTACAGATATATTTTAAAATCTATTATTGTTTTATAGGAGATAGATCTGGTTTGTGGAACGGATGGTAGAACATATATCAATCAGTGTTTTCTTCAAGTAGAAAAATGTCTAAGGAAAATTGTATAATAAAACTAAACTAAACTAAACTAAACTAAATTAAACTAAACTAAACTAAACTAAAGTAAACTAAACTAAACTAAACTAAACTAAACTAAACTAAACTAAACTAAATAAACTAAAGTAAACTAAACTAAACTAAACTAAACTAAACTAAACTAAACTAAACTAAAACTAAACTAAACTAAACTAAACTAAACTAAACTAAACTAAACTAAAGTAAACTAAACTAAACTAAACTAAACTAAACTAAACTAAACTAAACTAAAAGTTTATGAGATTATACAACTAGAGAGGTCGAGGTTGCGCATTATGGAGCTTGCTTTAACTCTACATCTCGAACCACGGTATTTAAAGGGACAGACAGCGATATTACAAGTGACTTCAATGTCCAATTCACAGCTGTACCTTTATTTAAGTTATACTAAGATTTCGTCTCTGACTGTTTTGAATTCTGTCAATTCATTCCTTTCTCTCAGCGCATAAATCCACCAATCATCTTTTCAGAGAGAAATCACAATTCAAGTTATCAATTTTCAAAGAGAAAAACGTTAAAAATCTTTGTAATTTTTACACAGACGAAAGCGGTTCACTTGAAATTACGTTTAATGCCTCCTTAACGTTAAAATTAACAAATTATAAACGGTTTTCAGAAAAATTAACTATTGAGTTCAATCATTTGAAACATGGCTGCCATTGAAATTTGTTTCAGGATCATTAGTTAAAGCAATGAAAATAGATTAGATCTCAATTATTTTTTATGCAAATTGTTTACAATCAAACAAGGTTGTATAGTAAGGTTATATACTCTGAATGCGCTCTGGATGTACTAGAAATATTGTTGCTGGCATTTTCTCCGTTTTATAATGAGCTGACATGCGGAGAAAATCAACCCCCCCCCCCCTCCCCTATCTCCAGCAACGTAGTATACCTTCATCTTCCGCCAACAATCAGCTAAGTCAATGTCCATTGCGCTCTAAAGGCAACATTTCTGTCACATTGGAGTGTATCCAGAGTATCTAATCCAATTTTATCATGCACAGGAAAGTTAATTGCAGTTGTGTACATATCTGTGTACCTGTGTACATATTGAAACCAGTTCTCTCTGGGCGGAATTTGTAAACAAGAACATCTTGCATCAGTCATCGTTTAGTATCCGAGAACATTAAAAGAATTAAATTTTGATAATTTTGATAACTCATATAATAGTTTCCTATGGCCTGAATATTTTATTGATTTTTTTATTTGAAATATGGATCCCATGTCAGGCTACGACATCCGTCTTGTGTTGTTTACATTACCGCACTGCAGTACAAAAGATGCGTACACCTCTGAAATAAATTTCCTTGCACTATAACCTTGATCTAACCTTTCTATACAACCTTTACATCAAATTCAATGTGGGAGTCGGGAGTTCAATAATTAGATTATCCCTTAATACCCCGAATAGAAGATAAAACGTTGTTTTAGCACAGTTCAATAATTAGATTATCCCTATTTACGCGTGCATTTTATTCCAGATAATTCTTTATAATAGATACAGGGGTACTAAAAAGGATTAGATTAAGACTCTAAAAATATTAGGATCTAATGGCTGAATTTAGTTTACGGTTGCCGAGAACAAAGAATATAAAAAAAATATTTAATTGAATTTAATTCAGTTGTCTCTGAAGTCCCGCTCTTTGTGGGCAAACGTCTAAAAACCATGCTTTATTGAACATGTTTGATAATAATGAATATGTTTATTTATTTTATAAGGATTTTGATTTTAAATAAAACAGAATAGATATTTCTTTTCAAAATGGTTCTGTTTAAAGCCTAAACTTCTTAGCATTAGAAATAAAATCAGGATTTTTGAGAACAAAGGAATTGAGTGATTGCCACAAATTCAAATTTTTCAATCCCCCTTTCTTTACAAACTGATGGTGTAAAACTTTGATATTTCAAATTAAGACTATTTGATCTACCAGAATTCAGAGTTTGAAATATCTGAAGTATACGACAATGTGCTGCAAAGAAATAGGGATTAGAAAATCTGACTTTTTGGGAAAAGACTCAATTCCTTTATACAACAAGGTGTTCCACATATCCTTTATACAACAGGGTGTTCCACATATCCTTTATACAACAGGGTGTTCCACATATCCTTTATACAACAGGGTGTATCCTTTATACAACAGGGTGTTCCACATATCCTTTATACAACAGGGTGTTCCACATATCCTTTATACAACAGGGTGTTCCACATATCCTTTATACAACAGGGTGATCCACATATCCTTTATACAACAGGGTGCTGTTGTTCCACATACCCCATTATTGTTTCAAACAATCAATAAAGCGGAAAAATTGTCTTTTTAAAGTCTTTAGATTTTATAATGGCTATGAAGTCTGTATTAATCTGTAACAGTTATAACTCTGAAAATTTGTTTTAATCGTTTTAGGAATATATCAGTCATAACCGTTACAAATTACAAAGTGTTGATTCAGCGTTATCAGTTACACTTCCATTCTGTTTTATACTAATTACAGGGGCGTGCACAGAAATTTGTTTAAAGGAGCATATTTTTTACTTTCTATGGGGGGGGGGGGCTCAGCGCCCGTTCAGCCCCCCTCCCCCTCCCTGTGTAAAGGTTGTATTAGACTGCAATATAATATAATTTTCCATGGTATAAATTAAAATACACAATTCTAATATATTCCAGATATGTCCTGAATCTTGTACTGGAGCTGCCCGTGACGGACCGGTGTGCGGCAGCAACGGCAATGTGTACATAAACAGCTGTGAACTAAACAGACAAACATGCGGACAACAAGTTGTTGTTGCTCATCGGAGGTAACCGCCATTTTTTATTTTCAAGATTGAATTTATTTGATACACATACATAAAGCTGCGTTGAATGTATATCACACTTTTGTGCGTACTAAATATGATGTTCTTGATCATCATTTGATCATTTGATTATTTGATGCATAAGTCGTCATTAATTGCGTTTCCTCATTATTTCTTCCGAATGTACCATAAAATGTTTTTAAATGTTTCCCTGAAAAAGACATATTCTTTATTTATAGTAAGATATATTTCTAAAAAATATATTTCTTAAATATGAAATTAGAAACTTATCGACTTCTAATTGGTCATATCTTCGAGCATTGACCAATAAGAGATCTGTTTAAGAAAGAGCATTCAAAGGTTTGAACCTAATTTTGGATATTTTTTCAAACTCTTGAAACTTTATTTAAAAAGTTTGTAAAAACGGAAAAGACGTTGAAATGAAAGTAAATTACATTGTCTAAGGATTGTCATTTAAAAACATTTCAAAACTGTAATCACACTCTACCGGGAATTAATTATTTTTATTAATCCTAAGAGACGATAAAGAAAATAATAAAATTTAAACTTAACCGTATATCTACATACACTTGCATAATAAAACTTCAAGTTAAAAACTTTAAATTGAGTAGATAGATAGATAGATAGATAGATAGATAGATATATACTTCGGCTAACATTATAATGAATACATTTTACATTTTTTAATTTTTACTAAACAATTATTAGCCAGGGCTACAGCCTAACCATTTCTGGTTGTTTTGATTGGCTGGCCCTCCAAAGTTTTATAGATACATTTTATTTCTTAAAATGAACAAATAAGGAATACATTACACAATTCACAAAGTAATTTTTAAAAAAAGGGAAAAAAAGAAGGATGGGTGAATAGCAAAGGGAAAAAGGGAAGAGAAGGAGAAACCCCAGCACAAAAAAATCCAATTTTTGTAGATAATATGTTACAGACTGGTTTACAAGATTTTCAAATTACATGAGTAGTAGTTCCTGTTTTTACATTTAAATTCCTTATATTTAGAAGCCAGATATATTTTCATATTCGTTTTGAAACTAAGTACTGATAATGAACATTTAATATTCATTGGAACACTATTCCAAATTCTCGTGAGAAATATTTTTGGAAAAGGTTTAAGATATTTGTTTCTTATTAATTCCAATTTAAAACTTTGTGTCCTATTAGGTTCTACAAATGGAGCAAACATTCCATTAAAAGACGAAGGAAGTTTTTTTTTATATATTTATACAGTTTTTTAACAGAATGTTTTTTTTTATTTTTATAGGGGACGGACTCTCAAGTACTGTTAAAAATTAATTTGATTTTTGTGAATTTGATTTTTAACCTTTAAAGGAACTGTCAGCATATTTTCATGTGAACTTCCATTTAAAGAGTTGGATACCCGATTCACAACTAATCTGCCGAAGATATTCTTGAAACACGATTTTCACTCAATTAGATGAAGTTGTGGACACTTTTAATTTCTCGCTTAATCCACTCTTTTTGGATAAAGTAGTCAAATCAAAAACTGTTTTTTTTAATAAGAGAGTCCCTCCCGTCTCTGTAAATTAATCTTAATTAAATAAGAGAACACTAATCTTGGTTCCGATTAAACAAATCTTGTTTTTTAAATAAGAGAACACTAATTAAAATGGTTAGTCTCGAGATTAAAAAAGAGAGGATCAAGTATTGATCTCGATATCCATTCAAGTTCCCAGCTCAGCCCCTATAACAAATTTATGATTACTTTCGTAGGTTTCAAACAAAGAGAAAAGAATATATATTAGAGGGGAATTTACTAGAAAAAAGTGTAAAACGGCCATTTTGTTGTACTGTTTCCATACTGCAGGTGTACTTCATATATTTATGCTATATTTAAAAATTAATGTTAAAAGAAAACCAAATTATGAAATAGGCTGGTTTCATAATTGACCAATGATCATTTCACATAGACTCTATGCCTTTCACTTTACAAACGATGATTTTCCGTTATAACTATAAATCAAATGATGGTTTTTATTCGCCTAATTCATTATAAAGTTTATATAACAGCTTTGAAAATTTCGAAATTGAAATGTCTAGTCTAGGGAACATACTGTATTAATGTACTCTACTGCACATAATTTGTGAACATTTACATGATTTGTACACTTTGAACTCCCTTTCAGGCTGAAACAGGGAGTAAGGAATAGAAGAGAGATATAACTGACGCGGTTCGCCCTACCATATGATTATACATGCTTTGCAGACGAGTACTCCATTTGTATAAGAAGTATTTGTCTGATGTACATTTACTGCGTATACAATAACCTATTCTGAACATTTCATATACAAATGGAGTACTCGTCTGCAAAGCATGTATAATCATATGGTAGGGCGAACCGCGTCAGTTATATCTCCCTTCTATTCCTTACTCCCTGGGCTGAAAGGGACTGAAAAAATTCATACCGAGAGATTCTTTAAATTCCTCTCTAATATATATTCTATTCTCTATGGTTTCATAATTCTATGATTTGCTTAAAACTTAAATTTGTTTATATTTCAGGCATTGTAAGGTTACAGAACATTGTGATGAAACCTGTTATAAAGTTAGCAAGGTCAGTTAAATTTAATACTCAAATGATATTTTTTCAAATTAACTATCTACCAATGCATAATTTTCATGTCGATAATAAATCGCAGTGAATTAACGATCACAAAATTTTTTTAAAGCTATGATTTGATCTGCAGGATCTAAATCAACTCGTTTTACTTAAATTTTCTTAAACAAACTCTTTCAAAGATAGATCTATAAAGAAAACTAAAGGAGGAACAGGGGGTTAGAGCCCCAATTAGAAATTAAATTTTCCCAGTAGTGCCTAAAACATTTTTTTCACTAGAGATTTTACGTTAACGTTAATAAACAACTGTTCATCAATTAAACTAATAAACTCTCATTTAAAAAAAATTAGGTACACTGTACATCCAAAATTGATATTTTTATATAAAGATCTTTAATATTCCGGCCATAAAATACAAGAAAAATCTAAAAATATATTGATATCAATAAATAAAATCAATGAAACAATGTCAGACATATTGAATATGTAAATAAAGTAAATATTGAAAATCAAATCAGAAAAATCTACTCCCCCTCTTTTGGGCCTCTAGGTATAGAGTGAGGATTATTGAATAATAAAAAAAATATTTTGGTATTTTATTTCTTTTCCGCATTGAAACCCCATCCTCTCTTGTCTTGCTTCATCTTTATAAGACATGCATTCTCAAAACCAATAATTCAATATTTGTTCAAAAATATCATCTTTCTTCAAAAAAACAATTGTGTCTGTAGGTTAAATTTATAAAGTTTACAACAATATTGCTTGATTCACTTCTACAAGAGAAGATAAAGCGTTGTTTTAGCACAGTTCAATAATTAGATTATTCCTTAATACCCCGAATAGAAGATAAAACGTTGTTTTAGCACAGTTCAATAATTAGATTATCCCTTAATACCCCGAATAGAAGATAAAACGTTGTTTTAGCACAGTTCAATAATTAGATTATCCCTTAATACCCCGAATTAGATAGAAATGTTGTTTTAGCACTGTTCAATAATTAGATTATCCCTTAATACCCCGAATAGAAGATAAAACGTTGTTTTAGCACTGTTCAATAATTAGATTATCCCTTAATACCCCGAATAGAAGATAAAACGTTGTTTTAGCACAGTTCGATAATTAGATTATCCCTTAATACCCCGAATAGAAGATAAAACGTTGTTTTAGCACTGTTCAATAATTAGATTATCCCTTAATACCCCGAATTAGATAGAAATGTTGTTTTAGCACTGTTCAATAATTAGATTATCCCTTAATACCCCGAATTAGATAGAAATGTTGAGTTGAAAATGGAAGTGATCTCAAAATGTGCGGTGAGAACTATTGTAGTTAATTTTCCAGGCACATTTCCAAGAGGGTATATATTGATGTCTATGAAACCTTTAAAAATCGATTCTCAAAACGTAACCTGGGTGGTTGATGGATGATTTTGAACGTCGACTTTGCGCTCAAACACAGTAATTATACACCATTAAAACGTTTTATATGTCTCAAATTAATCCTAAAAAATTTCTCCACAATCCTATACATTCTCAGTTCATCTACCATACATTGCCGCTCACTCCCTTTCACATGCTTTCTAACAACTACAACCTTTTGTTGTGTCTCTTTCTTTCTTCCAGTTTCGTTCATCACAGAACACTTTTCAGGATATTGTTAAAACAAACTTTTTATTTTTGACATTTATATTGTAAAGTTATTTATTTCTCCAAATAATACTTTTTTTCTTTCGCAAAACAATCAAACTTTTTAGTTTTGAATTTATCTGTTGGAAATCAATCTCATTTTAAGGATTTAAACTGACGCTCCATTTATAGAGTGGCATGTCTGATTCACAGCTGTCACCTTTTAAATATTTTAAACATCCTTATTTTTCAGGCTAAAAATTGAGGATTTTTGTGAAATTAAGAAATAAAGAAAAAATGATGGTTGTTTAACCCTACTACAATTGGTTTATGTCATGCATAACTTCAAAAAGGATCACACTAGAACGCTTAAACTTTTTTAACCTTTTCAACAATTTTGAAACAAATCATTTTGAACTGGTCGGTGTTTAAAGAAATCAAAAATAGTCTATTTTATTATTATTTTTTTATATTATTACTTTTATTAATTAAGGTAGAGATCTGAAATATATTTACTTGTAAAGTACTTGAAAAAAAATGTGTCACATGTTGATATTTGTCAAAAGTAAAAAAAATAAAATTCTGCATTTTTTAGACGTACTTTAAAAAGTTTTTTTTTTTAACTTTCCTAGAACAATTAGATTGAAGGTCTAATTTATTTTTATTAATCTGGTCTTGAACATTTGGACTAGGGACATGTATATCACACTCCCTTTTCTTCAACTCGAAGGGCAAAATCAAGGAGGAGAACATTCNATTATAAAAAAAAGAGCCCAATCGGGAAAGAAGACAAGGTTTAAATCAGGCATGGTAATAATTAGTAATAATTAGTGAAATAAAACAAAGAGTTATATTTATATTCTTTACAACATGACATGAAAACTTAAATGTTCTTATTTTAGATTCTAGTACAGCCTCAGAGCATGAAATAAAGAAAGTCTATAAAAAAAGTCCGTTGAATTTGTTTAAAAGTGCATAGCGTCAGAAATGTTAATGACCGAACTGAGCCGCATCCATTGAAAATTATTGTAAATCGTAGACCATCCCTCGAGATATAGTAGTTTCAAAATTGTAAATGTGGTCGTATAGGGTCTGATTTTATTTTGTGACGCCTCTGAGAAGAAAAACACCCTTTAATATTTGAAAGCTTATGAAATCTATGCTCAATGTCCATCCCTACTGTAGGTTAGCAGTGGGTCGGATGGTAAGCTGTATAACAATGTCCATCCCTACTTTAGGTTAGTTGTGGGTCGGATGGTAAGCTGTATAACAATGTCCATCCCTACTTTAGGTTAGCTGTGGGTCGGATGGTAAGCTGTATAACAATGTCCATCCCTACTGTAGGTTAGTTGTGGGTCGGGTGGTAAGCTGTATAACAATGTCCATCCCTACTGTAGGTTAGTTGTGGGTCGGGTGGTAAGCTGTATAACAATGTCCATCCCTACTGTAGGTTAGCTGTGGGTCGGATGGTAAGCTGTATAACAATGTCCATCCCTACTGTAGGTTAGCTGTGGGTCGGATGGTAAGCTGTATAACAATGGATGTCAGATGAAGAGGAAAAATTGTGGAAAACATATTTACGAGGTAAATATACTTTTAATCATATTTTTCTCTAGACGGTTAGAGTATTTTTTAATCTGTAAACAATCCAATTGGTTATTTTCTGGATTTTTAAACCCAAGACATATATATTTATACAAAAATGAACAGATATTTGATTATTTTGGTATAAATATATAGACACTTGATAGTTTTATTAATAATCTGCCTGATGACGTGCCCAGGTCGTCATCGATCATGCTTTACATGTTATGGACGATTTCCTGTGGAAGTCGCTTCAGTGCCGATTTTTTTTAAATTTGCAAGAAAGATTTTCTGGCTGGCCTCAATCATTGAAATAAAGCCGGAATTTTGATTGCATTTTTAAAAGATACATGCTTGGTGAGTCCTGTGCTTGCTAGTATTACCGCAGTGCAACAGGGTTACGACAACACCTCTGTTGGTCAAAAACGTAACCTCCTAATCAATATATCCGGTCCGATTAAACTTGGAGCAGCTGATCAATTTACGATTATACAATTAAAAAAACGAAATTTTAAAAATTCATTTCCTTCATGCCTAAAAATGTGTTTCACGAATACTCCCACCCTATATATACAAGAACAGACAGTTATTTGATTACATTTGTATGCTTAATGACACTTGATTGTTTCATTAATAAATTTTTGTGTATTTATGGATTCTAGACACAAGACACTAGACACTAGACAATACACATTTCATTAATTATTTTTGTAAATATCTGGAGCCCATACACAACATATCGTCACTAAACTTATCACTACAAAACATATCACCACAAAACATATCACCACAAAACATATCACCACAAAACATATCACCACAAAACTTATCAGCGACAAAACTTATCAAACTACAAAACTTATCTAACAACAAAACTTATGAAAACAAAACTTATCAACTACAAAACTTATCAAACTACAAAAACTATCAAACTCAAAACTTATCAATAAAATTCATCTGTATATAAATTTGGCTTGTCTTGTCTGTTTGTTTGTCTGTTTGTTTGTATGCAATAAACGTCAAAACGGCTGAACCGACCGAGCCCAAATTTTTTTGGGACATCACGTGACCACAGGGAAGGTTTATGAATGATAAAAATTTTTTAAAAAATGTGGTTTAAAGGTTTTAATTTTGTAACAAAATTCAAATTCTTGAAAATCCGCGAAATTTTTTTCTTCTTTGTTTCAAATGTAAACAACAAGAACATGTTCACAATTTAAATGGAAGATGGCGCCCTAAAAGCCTAGTAAATCTAAATTTTCAAATCATGGCCCTTTCTCCGAGATAGAGGCTAACAAAAACAGAGAAGACCTGAAAGCTATGTGTGCAAGCTTTGATAGTGTACCCTTGAACACATATATGTTCAATATTGCCAGCCTATTAACAGATGAATAATGATTTATATATATAAATTCTGAGTCAAGTTTCAGTTGTACAACGTTTAAAAATGTTTTAACAAATAAATGTTGTAGTTTGTTTGTAGTTTTGAGTATGATATGTTTTGGAGGTTGATAAGTTTTGTTGGTTGATAAGTTTTGTAGTTTGATAAGTTTTGTATTTTGATAAGTTTTGTAGTTTGATAAGTTTTGTTGTTAGATAAGTCTGTTTTAATAAGTTTTGTGGTGATAAGTTTTGTGACGATATGTTTTGTATGGGCTCCAATTTCTAGACCTACGACAATTCTCTGATTCTTTTTGTAAAGGAACTGAGTTTTTGTCGCAAACTCAAATTTTCCAATTCCTTTTTCTTTGCAACATGATGGTGTAAACCTTTGACATTATTAACCTACACTATTTGATTTAACAGATTTCAGAGTTTGAAATATCTAAGGTCTATGAGGTTGGATTACAAAGATATAAGGATTAGAAACTAGAGTTTGTGGCAAAGACTTAATTACTTTATAGACATTACACAATACACAGGTATCTAAAGTCTAGAAATGTACAAAAAGAATGAAATAATTTTGGTTTAGGGATTTTGGAATTAACTATTTCTAAAAAAAGCGCCGTGGACATTTTTAAAGATTTAGCAGTTGCAACAACTACGACATTTCTGCAGTAAAAGGGAGAACGAAGACGACCTTCAATATACAGTTCCCATTGTATAGATTGCTAGTGATAACCAGAAAACAATGGAATGTGAAGACGACATTAGCAATGCTTAAGTGAATTTAATTTTGTTACAAAGCAAATAGTTTCACAAAACGCTTATTAAACCACTACTTTAGTTTAATGGATCTGTTTACACTACACAGTTGATGTGTCTCAAAATTATTGCACTTATTAAAGTTAAAAACCTGATCTTGAAAGTCAACTCCTATTTTTCTGGTTCTAACTGCAAACATATGTCTGTGAAGACAATTATAGACACTATATGATCCAATATACAAATACAAAACACAGAAAACTATCTAATTTATTTTTTCATATCCTATTTCCTATATTGTATGAAATAAAAATATTCTTTTATTAATATACATTTTCTTTTATAAGAGAATACTCATACTCATTTGGCTTCCTTAAAGGGACTGTATGTGTAATTGCAAGTGATCCCTCGAATTATAGAGTGACATGTTCGATTTGCAACGGTGCCCTTCAGAGCTTGATCATGAATGAATGAGATATCAATGTGCTTCGTTTCAAAAATTTAATTATTTTCAATTGTGGTGTCTATTGAGACATAGGCTATAGAATAGAAAACTCTGTGAATCCGTCTTTAAATGGAGGGTCATTTGAAATTTCAAGGACAGTCCCTTTTTAAATACACGTGTAGATTCTGTTCGTACTTTGAAATAATAATTACCCAACAACATTTATATATTTTATGTGAAGAAGCCGTTTTATACTTTATGTTTATTTTACTTGATTTGTTCTACTAGATAGATATCTATTATTATGGGGTGGGGTGGAGAGTGTGTGACACTAGTTCTCGTTAGATCACTGAAGTTAAGCACACTTGTCCACAGCCAGTAACTGGATTGGTGTCCAGACTCGTTCACATGGTCGATTCCTGTACTCTACACAAACCTGATGGTTTCAAAAACATCTGAAGTCGACATCTGGTTAAGCAGTTATGACCACCTGACGGATGTAGGAGGACAGAGGGGCGGCTGTCAACAACTCTCGCTTCGAAAGGGTGCGTGCTGACTACTCAACAAGAAAGAAGCTTTATATGGATTAATCCAAGTGAATGATGATGAAGAGAGGAATGGTTGCCAGCAATGGTACCTGGGGGTATCCAATCCGGGCTTACATTCCAGTATATCAGAAGAATTCCTGCACTCTATTATTCTAAGGCCTAAGAAGCCCTTATGCAACTGGAGTCTTGTCAACCCTCTTCTCAGTATGAATGAAGCGTGGATGGATGAACGTGCAGCCAGATTACAACCCCTGGTAGATTAATATAAACCCAGACAATACCAAACTTTCACGTTAGAAAAATTCCGAGATTTGATCATAACAACCCGATCATGTCCTGGGGACAAAAAAAAATCACTTTTAAAGGGTATCTAAAGAATACTTGAACCTAGTTTACTAGTATTACATATGAAAGAAAAATGAATCAATGCAACTACTCATTTGACTAAATATTCGACGAGTCGCTTTTTCTTACAATTTATTATCATTTACAACGATACAAAAACTAAAGGAAAATACTATACGAATCAAATATTATGAATTGAGAATGTTTCAGAGTGAGGGGGGATCTCCAGGGGAACCTCTAGTCTAGGGAGCTGGTCTTCAACTAACTGCTTTTCCCTGATTTCACTCAATCATTTCCGGCGTCCATACAATTAACCTATTATTTTTAACACTATTTAGTTCAGCCGTAACATTCACGAATCCTGGTAAAAAATCACGATAATAATTAGTAAAACCCAGGAATGCGGATAATTCTTTTCCGGTCTGGGGCAGCGGCCACTCAACAATTTTCTGAACATAAGATGGAATTAGTTTAACACCTTCAGCTTTGACCAGATGACCGAGATATTCAACTTCTTCCTGAAATAAATGTGTTTTACTCGCGTTCAGTCTGATTCCTGCTTCTTTGTGTGCATCAAAAACTAATCTTAATAAATTAACATGAGTATCCAGATCCTCGCTATGTACAAGTACATCATCTAAGTAGGCGGCTATTCCAGGTACACCTAAAACATCTACCAGTCTCTGTACAAACCTACAATAAGAAGCTCCGGCATTCTTTAGCCCAAAGGGCATACACAAGAACTGGTAAAGACCGAATGCCATTGCAAAAGCAGTTATTGGTCTGGAGCTTTCCTCTATCTCTATGGTATGATAGGCATTACTCGCGTCAAGGGTAGAAAAATACCTAGATTTACCTAAAGAATTTAATATTTCAGAAATATTGGGGGTGGGGAAGCTGTCGGTCACGGTGAGGTCATTGACCCAGCGGAAATCTGAAACCCACCTCGTCTCCCCGCTCTTTTCTTTAAGATTCGGCGGAATTGGTTTCTTTCTTTGGTTAACGGGCCGGGCATTAGGTATTAATTCAATTTTAAATTTTTCCCAGGTAGTTTTACTACTTTACAGTCCTCAGTGGTAAAAATATCCTGGTTTTCATTTATCATTGAATATACCATATTTTTGACAGTAACGTTTTCTTGCAAAATTTTGTTTTCATTTAGTTTTAATTCTGCCCAAATCCTATCCTTGACCGCAGGATCCTTCACCCCTTTATTTACAACATTAATAACAGGTTTAGTTTTGTTCTCAGAAATCATAGAGCCATGGGATATTAATTGATTGGGCGAAATAATAATATCTTTATCAGACAAATTTGCATATACAATAATAAGTGACTTATCTTTTTGCTGTGTTTTATGACGGTAGACTACAGGTAGAGCACCATCAAGCAGCTCATCATCATCTCATCAGCTGTACAATGATGAGAGAAGCGGGGTTTACTGGTACATTGACTTCTATTGCCCTGGTTGTTTGCTTTGGAATTTTTACAAAGTTCTTTGATGTTAACAGCATTACAGGTGCACCTTCATTATCAATAGCAAAGTCCTGAGGGGGGGGGGATTTCGAATAGGGGGGGGGATTTTTCAAGAGACCTTCTGGGTGTTTTAATGAGGGGTCTGGATCTGTGTGAGACATTGGCTATTAAATCCTGATGTTCATCCGTAGTGCTGTGTACAACCTTTGCTGTTGATGGTTCTAAAACTGGGCTCAGACTGTTTGTTTTTAAAAAATTTACCCCTATAATGACTGGCAGGGATAAATTTTTCAAAACAACAGCTGAACCTGAAAAGATTGTGGACATTTGTTTAAACCTAATCTTAACCTCTAGCTGCCCTACTGTTTCCATCGTCGAATTTGAACTAGCCCCATTTGGTGAGTTTAAATCCGACGGTAGTAAATCTCCTACTTTACCTTGCAAATTGTTAATGAAAAAATACTCACTGATAGCGACGCCCGTTGGTATGAGGGCGCCAGTATCGATTAAAATTTTAGTATCTTCAAAATGGTTACCTGTAAAATCCATGTCCATTGATACAGCACCTTCTAGGAACGACGTTGCTTCAATCACATTTATCTCCGGATTGCGAAGCTTTTAGCCTTCCGGTGCATACTTGTAATGCCCCTGAGCATTTTGATATTTGCTCTTACACTTTATGCAGATTTCTTAATCGCTTCATCCAGGTCTGGAATTTGTTCTACTGCATCCTCGAACTTTTCAATTCGAGAGGCCACTGGGTCCCGATAGGCGGGGAGAAATACTTCGCCTAACCAGCTGAGGAACCAGTCAGGTCTACCCCCAGGTCTTGGTTGTTCAGGGGCGTCGTTCTCCATCCTAAGATATAAGAATGGAATAGGGACGAATAATATAATTGAACTGAAAAGACATATTGTCTGTCTGTGTTTCTAACATTTTATCTTAACTCGCGTCAATTAACTGCTGTCAATCTGTCGAAAAATATTCAAGCTTGATGAAAATATTTGCGCCATACTCATAAATTTATAAGCAACTAAACAAAATAGAAATAATGTCGTTTTACCTTGGAATTAATTAGTTAATGTTCACAATTTGAAAAGTAACGGGTAACTGCAGTGTAAGATGAGTTGGCGTCTATTTTCAATAGAAAAGTTCCGCGCAAGCTTACCGATAGTACTCTAGCATTCCGGTTAGGGTGGACCAAAATGTTGGAAAACTATTTCGCTGAATATTATCAAAAACGAGTGTTGCTATTTGGGCTTCCAATTTTTGAACTTCACCATATTACATATGAAAGAAAAATGAATCAATGCAACTACTCATTTGACTAAATATTCGACGAGTCGCTTTTTCTTACAATTTATTATTATTTACAACGATACAAAAACTAAAGGAAAATACTATACGAATCAAATATTATGAATTGAGAATGTTTCAGAGTGAGGGGGGATCTCCAGGGGAACCTCTAGTCTAGGGAGCTGGTCTTCAACTAACTGCTTTTCCCTGATTTCACTCCACCCTAGGCTAGAGCTTAACCCTAGTTCCCCGGGAGCTGGCCGGCCATCCCACCAGCGCCCGGGCCTCAGGAATAACGGAACAATTGGCGTGGCTACGGTTTTCGGCGTGGCTTGGGTTATTTATAGAATTCACATGCAAACTCAAATAAATCCGTTAGGATTCAAAATAGGATTCAAAAGTCCAACCGAAGGGTAAAAGGGGGGGGGACATGATACCCCTAGGTAGCTATGATCTCAGCGATCTAAAAAATCCTTGAATCGCTGATCGTAAAAGATCAACAAAATCACAGATTGTTACACTAGATACCTTTAGGATACTTGAGCCTAGTTTTCTACGTAGGTATCTAATGTTGGATACTTAAACATTGTTTTCTAGGTACCTATAGGATACTTGAACTAGTTTTTTTTTCTAGGTAACTATTAGATACTTGAACCTAGTTTGCTCTAGGTACCAATTTGATACTTCAACCTAGTTTTCTAGGTACCTTTTAGATACTTGAACCTAGTTTTCTCTAGGTGCCTATGGAATACTTGAACCTAGTTTTCTAGGTTACTATTGGATACATGACCCTTGTGTTCTAGGTACCTATTGGATACTTGGACCTAATTCTCTAGGTACCATTTAGATACTTGAACCTAGTTTTCTCTAGGTGCCTGTTGGATACTTGAACCTAGTTTACTATGTGCCTATTAGATACTTGAACCTAGTTTTCTAGGTACCTATTGGATACTGCTTGAACCGTCTATATAGAACGTCTTGTCCCCTTGATTGCACCGATATAAGGTACATATTTTTTATTTTTATGTTTTATATGAACTCTAAGGTAAATAATGAGGATATTTTTATACTTAAAAAAGGGCATCTAAGAAAACAAGTATGGTATGGAGGTGGGGGGGGGGGGCAGTGCCCATCTAGATTTGTAAGGAATGCAGAAAACTCCGTTTTCCATTTTCATCTGATTAACACTAGAATCCCAACTTGTTTCTTCACCCCCCCCCCCCCTTCATTAAATAATTTTCAACCCCCCCTTATTAAATACTGTTCATTTAATTGAATTTTTCAATTCAATTTCATTGAAAATCTAGAAACCTAAAAATTTACTGAATAGAGCTAAATAGAACAAATTCTTAAATTTACTGAATTAAAACTACTTCATTTAATTGTCATATCCCGAAATGTAAAATAGCATTATTCTTTATAATGTTTTTATAAATGCAGCCATGTGTTGTACATTGTTCATATTTTAGCTAAACTACCTTTTACGTTAATTGGACAGTTTATTTTACTTTAACTTCAGAAAGAAACCCATATAAATGTCTAAAATAAAGAATAAAGAATAAAGAATAAAGAATAAAGAATAAAGAATAAAGAATAAAGAATAAAGAATAAAAAATAAAGAATAAAGAATAAAGAATAAAGAANTCTGCAAATGTAATTTTAAGAGTTTAATCTCTGCAAATGTAATTTTAAGAGTTTAATCTCTGCAAATGTAATTTTAAGAGTTTAATCTCTGCAAATGTAATTTTAAGAGTTTAATCTCTGCAAATGTAATTTTAAGAGTTTAATCTCTGCAAATGTAATTTTAAGAGTTTAATCTCTGCAAATGTAATTTTCAGAGTTAAATCTCTGCAAATGTAATTTTAAGAGTTTAATCTCTGCAAATGTAATTTTAAGCATCTTCTACAAAACTTGAAGGATAGTTTGTTTGGAAAAGAGGTACATATTTACTTAATTAAAAGAAAACGTTAAGTATGGGAGAAAAGCAATTTTTTTATCATATGATATAAAAATTAAAACGTTCAAAAGTTTATGTAAAATACATCAAATTAATGAAGATTGTCATAAATGTTTTTGTTCTTCTCGTATTATTCACAATTAATATGTATATTTAAGTAAATTTACTACAGTTAAGTTTAAAAAAAATGTTTGGATATTTAAATATTTATGCCACATTACTGGTTCAACTTTGCGACCTCGTAGCTTCTCTAGTTTTGATTTTATGCCAAAAGTAAGTCCGGAAACTCCGGATGCATGAAATTCAAAACATTTTTGCTCTTCTCAACAGCTCTTCAATAAAATAAGTTCCAATAAAAAAACATGAAATGTAGATTTTAATTACAGGTGAAAATGTTTTATATGTCCGATCATAGCGCATGCTCCAGTTTTCCTATTTGTCTCAAAGGAATTAGGTCCTTGACACAAATTCTGATTTTCTAATCCCTATATCTTTGAAACCCAATGCCATAAACCTTTGATATTTCAAACTTATATGATTTGATCTAACAGAAGTCATGGTTTGAAATGTCAAAGGTCTACAACATTGGACTGTAAATATGTAGGGATTAGAAAGTCAGAACTCAATTCCTTTAAGTTGGGGAACTCGAAGCCAGGGAAATGTTTTTAGCCTGTAGTTTAACATTTTTTAGTTTAGTTCCTTGACTTTGATAGTTCAGTTTTTAGGCAGAGCTTGAGAGTTCAAAAGAAATATAAACGGAGGAGAATGTAAGCGTAATTTCAAATGACCTTTCATGCAAAGATGTCATTGCCTGATTTGCAATAGTACCCCTAAAACATTTATCTGAACAATAAAGTTTTAAAAATTATAAACATTTTTAATTCTTAATTTTTAACATTTGAAATTACGTTTTCAGACTTATTAAGCAGAATTCAAATAGAAGGGTAGAAAGTGAACAAGAAAATGTAAAACTGAGAGAAAATGTTTCCTAATCCTCACTATGAGCTGTTAAGATAGATTTTTCTTTTTACAAATTTTATGGAAAAACTTCTTAATTCATTAAGTGCAGGTTGCCTCAATCCACTCCAATGAGAGTACACAAAGAAGGTTTATTCTATAATTTGCAAAGTCAAATTTAGGAATTTTGGTAGAAATGAAATTTCATAGACAAGGCATGTCATAGTCTACAGGTTTAACTTTGAAATATTCTGTCTGCGAATGTTCTGTCTGTTAAGTGTTCTGTCTATGAAATGTTCTGTTTGTGAAATGTTATGCGTATTAATTATTCTGTCTATTGAATGTTCCGTCTGTAAAATTTTTTGTCTATGAAATGTTTTTCTATGAAATGATCCGTCTATAAAATGTTCTGTCTATGAAATGTCTTGTCCATGAAATTTTCTGCCTGCGAAATATTATGTTTATGAATTGTTCTGTCTGTTGAATTTTCAGTCTATAAAATTTTATGTCTATTAAATGGTTTGTCAATGAAATTTTTTGTCTGTGAATTGTTATGTCTGTGAAATGTTGTGTCTCTAAAATTTTCTGCCTATTAAATGTTCTGTCTATTAAATGTTCTGCCTATTAAATGTTCTGTCTATTAAATGTTCTGTCTATTAAATATTCTGTCTATTAAGTGTTCTGTCTATGAAATGTTCTGTCTATTAAATGTTCTGTCTATTAAATGTTCTGTCTATTAAATGTTCTGTTTATTAAATGTTCTGTCCAAGAAATGTCACAACACAATTTTGCTTTCCAATTCTCTTCTCCTTTTTTCATTCTCATTGCTTAACTTAATCTGAGGAAAGAGAATGGATTGGTCTGAAACTGATCATAAATATTATTTATGGCTCTAATCTGTAGAAAAGTTTGTCGAAATGGATTTGTATAAAATGGTTTTTTGTTATACATTTGAGTTTTCCACGACTCAATTCCTTACCAGATTTCTGTACATGAACACTAGTTTAAAGAATTAAGAAGAACATTAAATATAACGCACAATTAAACTTTGTTATTGTCGATTCTATTCAATCCTTATGCTTTCAATTTGGATGCCAAAACCTTGGGGAAAACATAATAAAAAATAAGTATCCTTTTTCTGGCATGATACCCGAATACCCAATTACCTGAATACATGGGTACTGGAATAGGGTAAGGTAGTCATACAATTCCAAAGATAATATATGTTATCGTTGTACAATTCTAGTTATTCTAGATTCTGTACCTTACCTACGTCATAACCCGGTACAGGACACAAAGTTGGCACTGGTCCTAGAACTGTCTTGGGATAAGATCTGTTGTAGGAGAGTATACGCATAATTGTGATTGGCATTTCTTTGGCGGTCTGAGAATTCTCCACTAATAGTTTTAATCAGTGACGTCAGAGGGCACAGATCTTCCCCCGTACCGTATCGACCTTTCATTCGTCCGCGAGCCTCACAGCGATACCCTATTCCAGTACCCATGCCTGAGCCCAAAACTTAAGACAGGGTATCGTTATGAAAACCAGTTTTAGAACCCGGGTTTTACGAATGGGTTTAGGCAGTTTTGTGGATATCAATATTCTTGAAATGAAATATTATTTTTTTCAGTTTGTTTATATTCTCTTTTTTCGAATCTCTTCAATCAAAATTTACACAAATGTTAAGACCCCCAAAAGAAAATTCGGGAGTTTTGTTCAACGATACTCTTATAAATACTCTGAATACCTAAATTCACATGATCAGGCGTGGAATAACTGAATTGAATTGAGATCAAGTATTTATCCTAAAACTAAAAGTGCCCATATTGGATATCGAGATCAAGGGATTGGGATTATTCGAGTATCTGCAAAACAAAAGTTCTGAGCTCTGAGCTCCAGCACAAAAATCCCGATATCAACAGTAGGCACTTTTAATTTGAAAACCAATGCTCAATATCCTTCACTATAGCATTTCCTTCCCTTAATCAACCTCTGACTGGGTACGATTACCATGCGGGATATCGAATAACGATTAAATTAATCTGCAGATTAGCAAAAGATTGAGATCAAGATAATTAGATTCGTTTAACCTGTTTCCTTTCTAGTGTTGCATTAACTTGCGGCAGTGATGGACAGATATATTCAAGTGAATGCGAACTTAGAAGAGCAGACTGTGGTTTCCCCCTTCTTACCTTTAAGAAAATAACAAAGGTTAGCTTTATAGTATTCGAAAAAGCTTGTTAACAATTACATTTTGAATAAAAAAGTCGTCTTCATTATATTGCTATAATCGCCTACCACCGTAGGTACCCCTGAAGAATGGTAAGAGAAAGATGCAAACCTGCTCTAGAATGGTTTAAATTAGTATTATCTAGATACCCCTGGAGAATTGTAAGATGAGAAGAGAAACCTGCTCTAGACTGGTTTAAACCTAGTATTATCTAGGTACTTCTTGAGAACTGTAAGAGAAGGATGGAAACCTGCTCCAGGATGGTTCAGTGTCCGGATGAAGAATCTGCTGTTTGTGGAAACAACGGTATCACATATAGGTATTCAAACTTGTCTCTTAGTGTAGCTTTACAAAGATAAAAATAACAGATTTGAAGGTATTTAACACATATTGTTCCTTTATGAGAAAATATAATCTAATTTTTTTCCGTAAAATTATCAGAACTGAGAATAAATTGGAATGTTATAACAAATACTTCGATGTGAAACAATTAAACACTTTTCGAGTCAGAAAAACGACGGTATCTTCGACATTTTTAATCAGTGTAAAGTTTCAAAGGTACCATTGTTAATCGGGCATTGTCATCTTTGCATAGATATGGTCAATTGTAATTACGCTTAAGTCCCTTTAAGACCTTTTTCAGATATCCCAAATGAATTGACTTAATCCATGTTTAAAGGGATTAGTAATATAAATTATCCTAAATATATATGAAAGGACTCTTGATTGCATCTTCCTCCCTGGGGTTCTAAATATCATTTTAAATAATCTTGATAAAGTACTTATTCTTATTTCTCTGCAATGCAACACTTTTCTAAATGGTAAATCCTCAAGCTTTCTACTTTTAGGTAAATTTAAATTCTCTTCTAAACTTTAAATCAGAATTTTCGTTGGATAAAAGAAAAAATGTTTTAAAACTTTTTTTTCGCTAAAATTAATATAATTTAGGAACAAGTGTGAATTACAAGAGGCAACCTGTAAATCCGGAGTTCAGCTGTCCCATACCGGTTCCTGCCAGGATCTTTCCAAACCAAACCTACCCTGCCCACGTGCCTGCCCAGAGACAAATCAAACCCAGGTTAACGAATTTTCATTGTGCTAAAATGTGAAACGTTGACAACCTTGTAAACCTAGAAATATCCTGAGAACCTTATAAACCTAGAAATATCCTGACAATCTCGTAAACCTAGAATTATCCTGACAAACTTATAAGCTAGAAATATCATGACAACCTTATAAGCTAGAAATATCCTGACAACCTTATACTCCTTGAAATGTCCTGAAATCCCTGAAAAGTATCCTGACAACTCTGAAAAGTATCTTGAAAACCCTAAAAATAATCTTGACACCCCTGAAAAGTATCTTGACAACCCTAAAATGTGTCTTGACAACCATGAAAAGTATCTTGACAACTCTAAACCCTATCTTGACAACATTCAAAAGCATCTTGACAACCCTGAAAAGTATCTTGACAACTTTGAAAAGTATCTTGACAACCCTGAAAAGTATCTTGACAACCCTGAAAAGTATCTTGACAACCCTAAAACCTATCTTGACAACATTGAAAAACATCTTGACAACCCTGAAAATTATTTTGACTATCCTGAAACCTATCTTGACAACACTGAAAAGTATCTTGACAACCCTGAAACGTACCTTGACAAAATTGAAAAGTATCTTGACAACACTGAAAAGTACCTTGACAACATTGGAAAGTTTCCCTAACCATAAAGAGAATCTCACCAAAAATAAGTATTCCCTCGTTGAAGACTGAACATTTATAAACGTTAATACGTTATGCAATCAATAAAACTGGGCAGTAGGGTTTTAGTTACTGAGGAAACAATTTTCATTTAATTTTTACAATCAAGGTGTAATGATTAGAAAGCTACAGTGAAACCCTTAATAATGAATACATCGGAAGAATTTATCAAATGTCGTCTTGAAAATTTTTCAATGAGTTTTATACTTTATTATGTAAATTTCAGTATTTGCGAAAATAAATAAATAGCCATGAATATGCGGGAACAGTTGTAAAGAGTTCCATATAATCATTTAATTAAAAAACTAAATATCTGCATCATTCCATTATCAGAAAGTGAAGAATACGACATTTGAGGAATTCTTTCCATGTATTCGTTATTAAGGGTTTCACTGTATATATTTCAGTTATTTCATGATGTAATTTGTTTCCTTCCTTCTAGGCCTTATACTTTTTTGTTACAACCAATTCTTTAAGCGTACGTCGAATTTCAATTTCCCGGATTTTTCAAATTTTTGATTTTTTTACGTCTCAATTTCATTCGTTCAAGAAGCATAAAAAATTAAAGATTTTTGATTTGCCTCAAGTTTTTAAAGGGTAACACTGTAGATTCACGATAATTTTCTGAGTTTTGGTTTAAAAATTGTAAATCGAGTTGGTTGAATTGTATTCCAGGAAAAGCCGGGTTCCCAAATTAGAGCATAATAAAAATGATACAATTGGTCGTCTTCGAATCGTGTTTACTGGGACACCTTGTACAATAAATATGAATAGAATCTACATAAAGATAAAGCAGCTTTAGCAAGAAATATATTAACCCAATATTGTTGGCTCCACTTGGAAACACTAAATTAAAAAAGTCAATCTTTTTCTACATAGGTTGTATCTGGGTTGTATCTATATAATATTATTTAGACTATCTAGGCTGTATCTAGGCTGTATCTTGGTTGTATCTAGGTTGTATCTAGGTTGTATCTAGGTTGTTTCTAGGTTGTATCTAGGTTGTATCTAGGTTGTATCTATGCTGTATCCAGGTTGTATCTAGGCTGTATCTAGGTTGTCTGTGCCTCGAACGGAAACGTGTATCCAAGTTTGTGTCATCTCAGACGAGAAACCTGCGGGCAGAGGGTCAACCCGACCAGCCTAGACATGTGCCAACTTACAAGGTAGATACCTTGGTCGGCGATTATATTAGTACAATGAAGACGACATTTCCATTTATGTTTTAAAAAGAACCTGTTAATTGACAACTTCTCTTTTATTCATTTTCAAGTTAATCCAACCTAATGAAATCATGAAATAGAAAGTTGTTTTATTATAATGATATATACCACGACCACTTTAATTAACCATAAACCATGTAGATCTAGACTGATATGAAAAGATGCATTTGTAAAAAGACTGGGTCGACTTTTAAAGTGTCGCAACATCTTGGCCTTACTAACTCAATTACAGCTTTTTGTAGCCCTGAACAATTGATATGTACATTTTAGAACTAAAGCACCTGTTTTAGCTTTAGTAAGCTTTAGAAGTAAATAATTTGGGAGGGAAACCCCGGACGCCATGAAAACTTTTAACAATTTTTTTTGACGTAGTGGCATAAGAATTTTACTAAAGATTAGAGTTGTTCATTGATTGTCATGATTAGAAACATATATGAACTCTTAAAGTGGTTTAAAAGATTAATATTAAAACTTTAAACATTTCTTAAGCAGAAAGGAAGATATTTGGAGAAATATTTCTGGAGTAAACTTGTTTTGTTGTAATCTTTGATTTAATTGATACTTTTTTTTGAAAAATGTTAAGATTTAAATAAATGATAAAAATTTTCTAGATTTAATTTGAACTTCAAAAAAAGGTATCGCTAAAATCAAAGATTATAAAAGATGAAATGACATGAAATTCAAATTTATTTTCTAAATATTTTCCTTTTCGTGTAAAAAATGTTTAAAGTTTTAGATACCACTTTATTAGTCATCTTTGAGAAGCCTCTCATGCCACTATGTCTAAAAATTTCAAAAAAATCTTTTATTTAAACTTAAAACACAAGTTTTAAAAAACCTTCTGTATTACACAGGCACATTTTGATGTGTTGTGCATGCTCATTTCTGCAAAGTGGAGGTTTGGTCTGCCTAGCAACTTTGGGAGGCTCGTGTCTGCATAGCAGAGGCTCATGGCGTCCGGGGGTTCCCTCCTTCATATGATTGATGCCAATTGGGCCCATATTTCAATGTGACAACTCACATGATGACATGAAACGGAAAGGATTATGAGCGGCAAATTAAAAAATTAACATTTATAAATTTTGTTTTCCACCAACTTAAACAGAAAAATCCGCAAAAAATTGGTTGATATTGGAGCTAAAATTGTTGCTGAAGAATATATCTGCGACTCCAATATATATATGCATCTAGATATTGTGGGGCGGACTGTACGGAAAAAACTGAAGAATGTATCTAGACTCTATATATGTATATCTAGATATTGTGAGGAGGACTGTACGGATAAATCTGAAGAATATATCTGCGGCTCTGATAATTCTCTTTACTCTAATGTTTGTCAAATGAGGAAAGAAAACTGTGGGAAGCATATTTACAGGTAAAAAACATCAATTTTAAAGGGAGTGTTTGCGAAAAATGAAACGGGGGTATAGGCTTACGGCGAAAAATAATCGATTTTGTTCGCCACGAATCATACTTCCATCTGTTGCGTTTATAAGAAGAAAATTGTTAAAAACGACTTTTTTCGACGAACGTAGAGCTCATACAAATTGAGAAAGTCGCAACATACAATTCGGGTTAACGATAAATTTAGAATTAGAAATTTGTAAGAAACTAGACTTAAGTTATAATATTGTTTATATCTAGTAATGTTCCTTAATCAATACTCATTTATCAAAATTGTAATATTGTTCCTAATTTTCATGACATCATTGAAAACTCGATTCATTTTAAATACCTGACAGACTAAAGTCAAAAGCATCTAGAGCAAGATGAACAGTATACAAAAGGACTAGAAATGGTAAAAAGGGACGGTACGACAAATATCACATCCCCATCTAGTGAGATTTATGTAAACGCCCCTGTGTACAATTGTAACAACTATAACGCTGAAACATACAGCATTCTCTAGACTCTGGGGTCCTAATAAAAAACTACTGCAATGCTAATATACCAAGGGATTCTAACCCAGAATATATGAGTATTGTATTACATAAAGAAATATAATATCTTCAATTGCTGCATCTTCATGGGTGATAAATTAATATTTGGTTTTCATTCTTGTCAATATGATTTCGGAAATCTATGCATTTATCAAACCCTGCTTGGGGGGGGGGGGGGGGGGGGGGGTGGGAGTGCATAGTGTACGAAAGAAGCAAAAAAAATCTAAAGGTTTGTTTTAATGAATTTGTATGTCCCTTTGTCGAAATGGCTGTACTGATCGGGCCCAAATTTGTGTACCAACTCACATTGGCCCCGGGAAAGTGGGAAGTTTTATGGATACGTAAACATTAAAAATGTTGCCATTTCTTTAAATGGGCAAAATAATTTAGAACAACCCAAAATAAACAGTGTGACTAATTATAAAATAGGTGTACAATGTGTTTACCTGTACACTGCTCAAAGGCTGTGTTTGATGTTCAATTGACTATTTAAATTCATAAATTCTTCCTATTTAAGTATTATTATAAAAAGAACAAATTATGTTTAAAGTTTATCATTTAAAAATAAAAAGAGGAATTATTCCGCGTTTTTGTGTCATATTTCTAGAGATAAATTGAAATATATGATTTTTCCAATCCAATAATTCAATTACTTTCATCCAATGTTGCATACATAGCAAGGAGAATTGAAACCAAGGAGGGGGCAATAGGGTTTCCGTACACTTTGCTGTGACGTTTTTGGACTGCTGGAGAACTAGTTTTTGCGTAACAACAATTCCAGCAGTCCAAAAACGTCATAGCAAAGTGTACGGAAACCCTATTGCCCCCTCCTTGTATTCAATTCTCCTTGATACATACTAAGGTTGGTTACTCTCGATGCACTCTAATGTACGAAAAATGTCGTCTCCTAAGACAGATTGGAGCGCATCGAGGAGTAACCAACCTTATTGTACAACCTTGATTATATCCATATTATATCAATTACATTTATGGTGATTTTACTTTTTATTCTTGACTAAATATATTATTCACAATATTTCAAAATTTTAGTAAATATTTAAATTCATCAAAATTATTTGAAACATTTTAAGCTTTATTAAATATACATTAAGGATGATCGCCTTTTAAGTTTTAAATAAGGCCGAGAAATAGTGGGCTATGGGTAGGGTTTTGACTATATTTCATGTACATAGTCGGTAAAAAACTTTTTGTTTGTCCACCCCGCCCCTCTGCACTGATTTTTTTGTTTAAATATTTGGAATTCCTATCGAAACACTACATTTGAACAGTTCATCAGTTGCAAAAATGATGTTTCTAAGGGGGTGGTGCCCCATAAATACGCTCGCGTTTTGAAGAAGGTGAGACGGAAAGCCACCCAATTTGCTCGATTATCAGAATTTTCACACTTTAAAACCAAAAACGGCAATAATATTGATCAGAGAAAGTTTCAAGGGTATGCGGTGAATCGGGTCTTGACATTTTTACACGAAGGGTCACCTGAAATTATGCTTACAGTCCCATTAAGTAGAATTGTTATCTATATTAGGGTGCCCGTATCCAAGTGCTTGTCTGTGTTCCAATGGAAGGGGTGTGCCCGAGTGTGCCCGCCTACCCTCGACCCTGTCTGCGGATCTGATGGGAAAACTTATTTAAATCCTTGTTTTATGCAACAAGAAACCTGCAGGTTCATTTTCAATCTTAATCTTAATCTTAACCCCTTTACTTAATCTTAATCATAATTTTCATCTTCATCTTCATCTTCATCTTCATCTTCATCTTCATCTTCATCTTCATCTTCATCTTCATCTTCATCTTCATCTTCATCTTCATCTTCATCTTCATCTTCATCTTCATCTTCATCTTCATCTTCATCTTCATCTTCATCTTCATTTTTATCTTAAAGTCTTAATCTTCATCATCATCTTAATTTTAATCTTATAAAGTCTTAATCTTAATCTTAATCTTTATCTCAATGATTTCTGATTTGTTTTCCAGACCAAATTTTAATGATAAAATGAACCTTGACCATTACTTTTACCTTTATATTGACCTTTACATTGCCATTCATAAGGACTTTTCTAGGGCCCGAAGCTTGGGGACTGGAGTGAGTATTGAATATTATGGAAGATGCGGTGATCCAAGACAACAGCCCAAATTCCTTCCGTACTTTCAACCACAGATAGAGTACAATGTACTTTAGGATATATATTTTACTTTCAACCACAAATAGAGTACAATGTATTTTAGGATATATTTATTGCTACTTTCAACCACAAATAGAGTACAATGTACTTTAGGACATATATATTTTTTTATGATATTTCAAACACAAATTAGGACAATACACTTTAGAATATTTGATGTTCTTTTTATGTAATCTACTCTTTACAATGTCAACCTTATTTAAAGCTTCAGCTAAATTTCAATATAAATTTCAATATTTACTGAATATATATATGTAACAGAATATAAAAGTTTAGCAAATTTTAAAAATACACATGATCAATATTCATAAATAAAAGCAGAACTTTAGCGCACAGGTCTGCCGCTTTATTAATTAGTCCAAACTAGGACTGTAAAGGTTGGCCCAGCTCGGATATTCAAATGTACACCGGTTGTGCGTGGCAGTTCTAAGCAATCCCGAAAAAAAGAAATGGAATTAAAGCGGATTTTATTTTAACTTATCTCAACTTAACTATGTTTAAACTTTGTTAAAAACAGAATTATTTATGACTTTCTGACCTCGTTACTTCTTATGTCATTTTTAACTAACTATGTGTATTTATTCAGATTCATCAGTAATAAATATATATACAGTGAGAACCAGAGAACAGTGGAATAGGAAGACAACATGATAGCAATACTAATGTGTATTTGATGTTGTTACAAAGCAAATAGTTTTACAAGACACATATTAAATCACTAATTTAGTGAAATGGGTTTGTTTACACGGCACAATCGACATGTCTCATGCACACTAGGCTTTTAAAGTTAAAGTCTTCCCATTTCAAAGTTTTCTTGTTCTCACTGTATTTTAAATGCCCGGGAAGTGTTAACAAGTGTCCATCATAGAAAGTTTTCCTTTCCTCAGGGTGTCCCAATAAACATGGGTATTAAAACACAACTTGTAAATCGTCTTTAATTTTCGATAATTAATAAGTGTTTACAAAATAATGCTGTGTAACAAAGACGATAAAGAAGTCGCCGTTTAATTCCCATGTTTATTGGGACACCCTGTATCAAAATGAAAATTATACTTTTAATTATAAAATACAAATGTTAAATAAAGATTTAAAAATTAATCAATGAAAAATGTTTTTTTTAAATTTATTTTTCCCTTTATATATATTTGTCATTACAATGATACATATGACAGGGATATACCAGGGTACATTGATGTACCAGGATACAGGGGTATATCAGGATACAGGGGAATACTAGGATACAGAGGTATACCAGGATTCAGTGATATACCAGGATACATGGGTATACAAGGTTCCAGGGATATACTAGGATACAGGGGTATACAGGATACAGGATATACCAGGATATAGGGATATACCAGGATCAGAGATAAGTCTGTGACCAGGATACACCGGGATATACAGATACCAGGATACGGGGATATACCAGGATACAGGGATATCCCAGGGTACAGTGATGTACCAGGATATAGGGGTATACCAGGATACAGGGATATACCAGGGTACAGTAATGTACCATGATATATGGGTATACCAGGATACAGGGATATACCAGGATACAAGGGTATATCAGGATACAAGGGTATATCAGGATACAAGGATCTACGAGGATACAAGGATATACCAGATAGAGGGATATACCAGGATACATGGATATTCTAGGATACAGGGATATACCAGATAGAGGGATATACCAGGATACATGATACAGGGATATACCGGGATTCAGGGGTAGATGAGGATACAGGGATACAGGGTATACATATGGGTTTATCAGGATACACCAGAATTTGATTAGAATACAAGGATAAAGAATTTTATATTAGGATACAGGGCTCAGAGAAGGAGAAAGAGAATACAGCAAATCCCGTCATTAAAAGTGTTAGTTTAAAGAATGTATCTATGTAAAATTATGTACTTTAATGATAAATATATATCTATATATCTATCTATAATTAGAGAAAAAGTTTCCGGGAAATTCCCATCACATAAGAAGGATCCTATCCAAGATTTAGAATTTGATAAAATAGAAAATGCGCCAAAAAAAACCCTGATAAATGAAGCTATTTTATAAAATTTTCACTTAATGAGAAAACTTTGAAGAGGAAAAGTTTTCAAGTCTGAGAAGATTAACCTAAAACTAAAATAATTGGAAATTAAATTCAGAGCTTTCTTTACTATATAGGTCGGATGAACACATTTTATAGTTCAGATGATTAACACTGTATGTAGGAAAGATGCACACATTTCGTATTTATGGTGCACAGTTATTAAGTAGCCGCAGCGCTCGGCCCAGAAATTGTCTTAACCTATCCTAACCGCGCATATCGGCCATTATACTTGTACTTGTATAACATACTGACAAGATCTGCAGTACCTGTGTAGGTCGGATTATCTTAAGACAGAAGTACTGTAGGACGGAAATGCCTTAGGGCCGAAGTACCATTACCTGTAGTTTACCAGAAGCTTGAAAATCAACTCATTGCTGTTTGCTGCGTAGAGGTGGCAGCTGGTGGGGTCTTAAGTGTAAGACATGTGGCCGCAGCGCTCTGCCCCCTAGCCTTTCCTAGCCGCAGCGCTCTGCCCCCTAAAATTCAATCCCCCTCTCTCCGTTTTGGAATTATACGGGGCATGTGCGCGCAACATAACTTGAGTCTCACAGTCGTCTTCCATTCCACAGTTATATAACAACATGCTCTAGCGGTATGCATTCAAAATGCAAAATTTTATAAAGGATTTATATAACTTACAAAACAAGTTAACAAATAGTGTTAATTTTTACCTAGTGCAGTTTTAAAGGGAGTGACCGGCAATGTCATGGTAGTTGAACTGAGAATGTAGTACATTGAAGAGAAATTGTTTAGGATTCATTTGAGACATTTAAAACGTTTTAATGATATAAAATTACTGAGTTCGAGCGCAAAGTCGACGTTCAAAATCATCCATTTGGATGGTTACGCCTTGAGAATCGATTTTTTAAAAACTATTTAACAACGACGACAAAAAATAAAACAAAAAATCTAAAGTAAACCAATTAGTTGTTTAGGAGCAGGTTGAGAAAATAAAATTTGACTCTAATCGAAAATAAATAATGTTATTCATATATTTGATTCTTTGTCAGCTTATTGTTCACATAACGTTTTCTGTAGATTTCTCGGAAATTTTATTGAAAATACGACATTTGAAGAAATCTACGAACAAATTCGTTAAGTGTAAGAAATTCATGATAATGATGAAAAAGAAATAATTGACTCTAACATTGATACATTGACAAAGTTCTATTGAGAAATATGGCCCAAACTTTTAATTATTTTACTGTCAAATTTTTTTTTACATTTTTTGTCGGTTGTTATATAATAAATTTGAAAATATTGATTCTCAAAACTTATCCACCCAGATGAATGATTTTAAACGTCGACTTTGCGCTCAATTTCAGTAATTTTACATCAATAAACCGTTTCCATGTTGTTGACTGTGTTAACTGAATTACTTTTAAAATGTTTATGAAAAAATACCGCGAAGAACAAGGATGTAGAAGTAAATAATTAATTTTATGTTAGAGGAGTTTAAATCATAACAACAAAGGCGACTTTTCTATTTAAGTTTTGATTTCTAACATGTTTACAAGAATACAAAGAGAAGCTGTTAACTGACAGCATCCCTTTGTTTCAATGTTTTATGTGTATCCATGCTGTTGGAAACCTTGATAGAAATCAAAATATAGTCGTCTTTCTTGTATTGACGACGTCGACTATCCATCGCAGTAAAAAACGTGCATAATGTTTCCAGTCAAATTAAATGATATTCTAGTGGTTATATTACTATTTATAGTAAAAAAGTTGAAAGAAACAGAAAACACACAAAACTTAAGTCAATAATATATTTAGTGAAAATTTTGTATTGACATGTAGCACACAGTTTTGATTGCAAATATATATCATCACATCGAGATTCTTGGGAACAAGAAATAAAGAGATTGTTGGGAACAAGAAATATTGGGATTGTTGGGAACAAGAAATAAAGAAATTTCTGGGGAATAAGAAGTATTGCGATTGTTTGGAACAAGAAATAATGGGATTATTGGGAACAAGAAATAATGGGATTATTGGGAAAAAGAAATTCTGGATTTCTTGGAAACAAGAAATAAAGGGATTGTTGGGAACAAGAAATAATTGGATTATTGGGAATAAGAAATTTTGGAATTCTTGGAAACAAGAAAAAAGCTATTGTTGGGAACAATAAATAACGGGATTGTTGGGTCCAAGAAATAAAGGGATTGTTGGGATTAAGAAATAAAGGGATTGTTAGGAACAAGAAATAAAGATATTGTTGGGAGCAAGAAATAAAGGGATTGTTGGGAACAAGAAATAAAAATTCTTGGCCGCAAGGAATAAAGAACATGTTGGGAACCCGAAATATGGACACTTTTATAAACAAAAATAAAAGGGATTATTGGGAACAAGAAATAATGGGATTGTATGAAGAATTTATCCCGAATTTAGAATTTTTGATTAATAGTCGGGAAGTAAAAGAGCGAACCAATTAGGTGGTTTTTTTAGGATTCATTCTCTCCCATCTTAAAAACTTTAAAGATTTGTTACTCACCAAATATTTTTCAGAGAGAAGCGAGAAAGTGGTTAACTAACATATTATAATTTAACTAAATATCATCGAGATTAAACAGTGTCTCGAAAACACATTTTTTTAGATTTTCCCAAATTTCTTGACTTTACAGATTAGACAGATAAAGGTGCAGTAATTGTTTCATTTTCGTTTACTCGGTTTTTATTATGGGATGCTATGAAAGTACAAAATAGGGTTTTCCTAAATTAAGATTGAGAATTAAAAAACATAACACATGACCCGAATTATCTAAAAGAATGGTAGGAACAAAATTGTCAATACTGCAAAATAAACCAAGACAAACATTTCAGGTTAGGATGTTGGAATTGAAAAATGTCTTTTCAGAGTTATTTGTGATTTTACCAAAATACAGAGTTTCGTTATCAAATTTATTTTTTCCCTAGTTTTTTCTCTACATTTCTTTTCTAGTTATTAACTTTTAGTTTTGTTTAAAAATTATTGTTTTGTCTCAAAACTTCCCAGGGTCAAATATGATGTGGGACACCCTGAATATAACAGATTAATAAAATCAAGTCAATTTATGAAAAGAAACAATCTTTACTTCCTAAACAAGGAGAATAAAACTATGTTAACAAATGGTATTTTTCGGGTTATGGGTATCATGTGCACATAGTCTTCAGTGAATAAAGAATTTTTCTAAACTAAAGTTGTTATTCAACTGACTAAATTGATGGATAGAAAATTTGCGCATCCGTTGCAATTCTTTAAATTTTTTATACCCCCCCCCCCCCTGCAATAGATTCATCATTTTTCTACAGTATTAAGCATTTTATAATAGAATTATGTTGTATCAGAAAAAATATTTGCAGAGAGAAGAATCTAATAAAGTATAAAATATACATTTTCTAAGGCACAAGGCAAGGCACAGTGTTGAATAATAATATTTGTACAACAAATCAAGATTGTCCAGAGGTCCTGGAAGACGTACATTTCATGTAAACAACTGTACAAGCTATGTACAATTTTAGCACACCGGTTCAACACATTGTTATAATTATGGCAAAGGTGCAAGGTCGGCCACAACAAATTGTAATTTTACCATATAAATCTCCATCGCGCAATCGCGTTTCATAGTTTACAATCTAATGAAATAGTTGCCCCTTTCATTTAACAACATTTTCGGGGTTTACAAATTGTTTTGGTTATGGATTACAATTTGTTTGGTGCTTTTACCGCGAAGCATATTTGTGGTATAATTTAAAAACTGTTGCGGCATACACTACCCCACCCCCTTCGTCGGATTGGCACTAGATAAATATAAATAGATAAAAGATTTCGGTTTTCATACAATTTTTTACATTTCGTTGAAAAGAATTGTTCGTATCAAAGGGACTGTAGTCTGTAGACATTATTTTAGGGGTTATTTTCATTTGTGGGTTTCCATATAAAGTGACATAAAGATTTCTTTCTATTTCTATAGGAACACTTTTAAAGCTATAAAAATGTCATCTTTTACATTAAATCAGATAATGGTTTAAAAGGTACCCTAGTGAATCTGACATGCCTGTCACTAAATAGAGTCACTTAAAATTAAACAAGAAGTTGCTAGTTTTGCATTAACAATGTAAGAAATTGTTTTTAAAAAATTCTCAAAATATATAGTACTCTAGAAATCGTTAAACCTACATTTAAAGGGACTGTAGACGTAGTTCCAAGTGATCCTCCATGGCAAAGATGACAATGCACGATTCACAACGGTACTCTTGAAACCTTTATCTGATCAATAATGTGGATTACATTGTCGTTTTTCTAGGTTTAAACGTGTTCAATTCTGATCATTCCTATAAGTTTTCCTGCAGTAGAATGCGCAAGTCCCTTTTGTAGAGAAACCACAATTAAAATTATCAGTTTTCAACATTATAAACATTCTTAACATTTAAGTATACCATTAAGAATCGGACATTGCCTTGTTTGCATGGAGGGTCAGTGGTGACTTGAAATTACGCTACAATCCCTTAATAGAGAACTTTTTGTCACAATAGCTCCACAAGGTTCAAGTTTCAGTATCTAATAAATATGTGAAGTTAAAAGTTGACTTGACAGAAAGAAAATAGTTTTATTTTCTCTTGAAATAGGTTCGTAGCTTGATCCCTTAACTTTAGTGGGTCAATAAGGGCAGAGGTGTACACAGAGGAGGGGCCCCCCTTGATCAGTAAAATCTGTGGTTTAAGACCCCAACGGGTTACCGAACCTTGAGGAAAAATTAAAGCCCACCCTCCCTGGAAAAATTCCTGTGTACGCCCCTGAATTAGGGTAACTTTTACTTCGAGAGAAAACTGTCTTTTTCAATTAATGTAATAAAAAGCTGCCAAATATCTGGTTAGTTGCTTCCTTCTAGTAAATTAGCTTTCAAATGCTATATTTGAAGGGAAAGCTGCGCGAAATTTCAAGCGATCCTTATGTAAAGATGGTAATGCCCGATTTAAAACGATGCCCTTAAAACCTTTGTCTGATCAAGTATGAATTAGATATCAATTTATTTGTCTATTTAAACTTGATTGACTAGCGCATTTCTTGCTTATAATAAGTAATGAAGAAACTCGCAGAAATAAAAACTTTCGAGTCAGAAAAACAACAATATCTTCCACGTTTTTGATTAGATTTTAAGGTTTCAAGGATACCGTTGTAAATCGGGATGTGTCATCTTTACACGGAGAGTCACTTGAAATTACGCTTACAGTCCCTTTTATTAGGGATGCTTACAATTTACTTTAAATGTTTTCTGTAATTTCTGGGTGGAGTATAAATAACTGCAGTACAATTATTTTGTAAACAAAGATAATGGGGTTCATAGTGTATTCTTCATGGCTTATATGATGTTACTTGAGAAAGCCAACTTCGTTCTACTTTAGCAGAATTTCTGTAAAAGATGCCGTTTTCGTATGTTAGTAAGATAGATTTTAAATATTTTTCTTCAGAAAAGAAGCTCTATACGTGACAGTAAGCAGCTCCTTGTTAGACTTGGTCACTCTCAGCTGCTTCCCGTTTATTTGAGTAGATTAGCTGCTGCTGTCACATCCCAATCAGAATTCATCAAGGAAATCTAAACAAATATGAATTTAAATAAATAGTATTGGTTTCACTTGTCATTTTATATTACACCAAGTCTATGGGGAAGATTTTTACTAATTATAATTAAATTTCAACTAGCAGCAAAGTTCTCCTTTTTCTGAATACTCTTGAAACCTTAATCTGATAAAAATGTGATGATAACGTCTGCCTCGATGTTTATTTTTGTGAATTTCTCCATTGTTTCTTGTAAGAAAGAAATGCGCAATTCACTTTCGCAAAACCACAAATGAAAGTAAACAGTTAAAAAAACATAGATATCTAATTGATACTTTTAAGGGTCCTGTTGAAAATCGAGCATTATAATCTTTGCAGGGGGGAGTCACTTTAAAAATATTTTTTTTCTCTCCCAAAATCAGTGATGAAAATCACTAATGAATTGTTGCGCTAAAATAATTTGGGAAGAGGAGAAGATAGAGTTTAAGAAAATAACATGTTAAAGCCTGCACAATGTCGCCCCTCCCCTGCAAGTATGGAACGGGGCGTTTTTCCAAGAAAATTTACAATAGAGAGAACATATTTCATTATCCTAGAATTGAGGAAGAGGAAAACTATGAAAAATGTCCAATATATCAATGTCCGCAGAGAGAACATATCTTTCCACTTCCTTCTTCTCAAGTAAAAGTACCCATAATATGACTAGAGGGATATGCAGTATTATCTATATATATATATATATATATAGATAAAGTAGTAATCTCTGTTTGTTTGTTTGGGTGTTTTATTATAACTCAGAAATCCCTTGACCGATTTGTCTCAAATTAAGATAGAGGAACTCGGGAGAACCACGGAAACATTCTTAGCTAGGTTTTGAGTCTAAATTGAGTGGGTATAAGGGAAAAATAGCCAAAATCGTAATTTCAGATCAAGCCCAGGTAAATGGTAAACTATGAGTAATCTGGGCGACGCTAGATTCCCAAGCTAGTTTTTTAACAAACAAAAATGGAAAGATAACATTACCAAGAAGAAATGAAGGTTCAATTATATTTTCTTTAAATATAAAACCACCCATTCCCCCAAAATTACAATTTACTTTTTGTTCTTTTTGTTCCTAATATCCAACATTAACAACTTTTTTTACTACAAAATAAATAAAGAAACTGTTACTAATTTTTTTTTCAATATTTTTACATTCCTGAAAATTTTGAAAGATCAAAAAGTAAAGTGTATTAACTACACCAATTATAATATTGATCAAATATTAGTTTTTACGTTTGGTTCTTTTAGTTTAGACACTTTTATTGTAAAACATGATAAACCAACTACTTTTATTGTATTTCGTATTTTCAATTTAATTTCATTTCCGGAAAAGTGTCAAACTGCTTTCAGCACTCAAAACACTTATTGATTTGTTTCAACAAATTTTATCATTTCTATCCTTTTTTCAGACTTTAAATGTACAATCCCTTTAAGGAGAATATTACGTGTACAATCCCTTTAAGGAAAATATTACGTGTACAATCCCTTTAAGGAAAATATTACGTGTACAATTCCTTTAAGGAAAATATTACGTGTACAATCCCTTTAAGGAGAATATTACGTGTACAATCCCTTTAAGGAAAATATTACGTGTACAATCCCTTTAAGGAAAATATTCCTACCTTAAGTTGAGTCAATGACACCCCTGGTTGTATTTGAAGTCCTTTCAGCTTGACAATCTTTATTGCCTGAATTCAGTTTTTCAAAATTAATAAAAGGGTTTTTAATAATTATTACTTTTTAAAACTATTTTTCCTAATACAAACGCTTTCAATTAAAGTACTTTTTTCAAAATAATTTCCAACATTTTTTTAAATTCTGTTTTCCAAATTCTTCTATATGGGTTAAAAAGGGTTAAAAATTGTATTTTTATTTGCATTTTTCCTGATAAAAAAGCTTTCAATAAAATCATTTTCATGTTAACAATTTCTGAAACTTATTTTTTTAAATGATTTTTTATGACTAAAAAACAAACAACATAATATTATAAATATGTGATTATTTTTGTCAAACTCTAAAAGTAGGGATGAGTTTTTCTAGAATTTTTTTATACGTAAAAATAGTTTTTATTTCACAGGGATTCTAAAATTCACCGCCGTAAGATAATAAAACGGAAGAAAATAATCGAAAAATAAAAACAATTTATAAACTTAACACTGTCCTGATGTGGTAAAATAGATAAATTCGAACATTGGAGATGTGTCGAGTGTTCGTTTTTTCTAAATGCAATTTTGATATTTAAATTTAAGACGAATGCAATTATCTATAAATGCTAATACGGGTTTCCGATTTTTTCTTATATTGTAAAAAAATATTTTTTTTAAAGTATTCAACAGGTTATTCGTGGCCAACCCGTTTTCATATTTTAAATAGACTTATGGTGTAAATGAATTCATTGAAAACGTGAATTTTTAATTAAGTGATTTCATAATAAACTCTGCTTAAAATGGTAAGAGGCTGATGTATGGAAGCAAAAAAAATGCAAAAATGAATTCCCAAAACAATTTATTTCTTGAGAAAAGTTCTAGTCCATACGGGGCATGTAAAATTGTCAGGGGAAGGGGGAAAAATACATTTTTTGAAATACTTACAAGGATCATCTAAAAGTCGAATTTTCTAATTCTTATATCTTTGTAACCTGATGGCATTGACTTAAATATTTCAATTATAGTCAATTATAGTCAAAGTAACCATCAGGTTGCAAAGATAGGGATTAGAAAATTAAAGTTTGATACGAATGTTCATTTTCTTAGAAAACTTAGATGTTCCAATTTGAGGGAGGGGGGGGGGGGGGAATGTACTTTTTGAAAAAAACGTAAAATTTTATTATTTTGATAAAATGTTACAAATGTTCACCTTGTGAATATTCCAATCTGTTATCTGTAGAGCTGCCACACAATCCTGTTTATCACAGGAAACCCCACCTAGCACCTTGCTCATTATTCGAACCTAAGATTAAAGGGACTGTAGACGTAATTTCAAGTGACCTTTTTTAGAGTGATATGTCCGATTCACATCAGATATCTATCTTTTTTCCTTTAAAAAATAAATTATTTTTAATAATGGGTTCTCTACAAAGTGACAGAAAACAGAAATGATCAGATACATGTTGAAAGTTAATTGTCACTTGAAATTACAAAGGCACTTTTTTATAACCCTTCATCTCTCTGATGGTGTGCAATATTGATATATCAAAAATGTTGGCTTTTTCATTTCGTTTTATCTAATTATAATGTCACCAGAACCCCACCACTCAGGCTGATTGATGCATTCTGTATCAAAGGTTTATATTTTTCATAATTACCCCCCCCCCAGAGGAGGGGGGGATATGCTTTTTGATGATTTGTGCATTGCATGGGGAGAAAAAATGAAAAATTTGACATGAGAAGGCAAGTTTCCTAAAAACTCTTTTAAATCCTCCTAAAAATCTCTTGCTCTATTTACTATGGTATATACAAGGCTGAGTAGGTTGTTAGAGTTAATAGAATAAGTTCCTTGCAATACGTCACAATAATATTGTGTGCACAAGCCCTGCCCCCCCCCCTCATAACTGTTTTATAGTTTTTGTTTAAGTTATATCCCCCCTGCCGCCCCCCTCTCCCCCCATAAATCAAAAGTATGATTATTGTGTTCAATCCTTATGTTTATTTATGTTTTATTTAGTTGTTTCGAATGGCTCTTGGCACAAACAGATTTTGCTCGCTGCACTGAGCCCGTTGATGTTCAAAATTTATCATGTAAAAATTTCTGTAAATTATGTACACCTAAAAACTATTAATATTATTATTATCCTACCTCATCACTTTCAATCCCTCTCCTGTTTCTAAACCTGGACTCAGGAGACTGATCGAAGTAGGCATTCTCAAGCCGACTACCTCGTCCAGTACCATAATTAGTCTCTCCTAACCGGGACTGACTATCTAATGATACTACAGGACTGCTGTTGCTTTGAGATTCTTGCATGTTATCCAGAGCATCCATGTTGTACGCTATTTCTTCCTCAAAAGCATCATTGTAAGTTTCAAAATTTGTCATGGCGGGTTGGGAAATGGATCTGGAGGGTTTAGCTCTGACAGGAGGAGGAGGTTCAGGTTCAGAATCAATTTCAACTCTTCTCAACATACTGGCCGCAGCGCCGCTAGGGATAATTAAAGGGTTCTTTCTGACATGACGTTTCCCGGTAGTAACAGAGCTTTTCCGTTCCTTGGGAGGGAGAGGAAGAGGGTTGGTAACCTCGTCGCAGGGAGAAGGATCGATTTGAGAACCTTTCGGTAGAGTAAATACAGACGCGGAGGGGGGTAGAGACAGACGATGAAAACTCTGAGAGGGACTCGGAGTACTACTCACGTCCTGCTGTTTATCTCCTTCAATCAGAGCTTTGTACGCATCCCTGGCTGTCGGAGTGATTTGAGAATGTAAATCTATTCTAGAGTTTACCTCGTCGGTAAAATGTCTGGTAGGAGAGGAGGATTTATGCTTATTGTGAACTGGGAACTTAAACGTAAACTTTTTAGAAGGAGAATTCGGAGTTATCGGTGAAACCTGAGGAGAGGCGTTAAACATATCGTCGGTGCATCGTTTGTCGAGATCGTGCATTGATTTGCTGGCAATCTGGTTTGCCATGAGTATTGCGTTTTCCAGGGTTTTCTCATCGCTCGCCTTAATCGGTCGCACGAAGGCGGCCTTTTTCCCCTTGTGCCGCCGGGATAGAGTTAGAGTGGTGACTTTATCCGCGAGTTTATGACAAGATTCAACTATTCCATGGAGGCCGTGATGCTCCTCTTCCGCAGGTTTGGTCTCATCTTTGTTCATCTTCAAGGTGTCGTAATTCTCGAGCTCACTGAACACCTCGTCGAGAAGACTAGGCCCAAGATCAAGAGGAGCACCGAAAGCTTCATTCTCCTCGTCGCTGATTGACTGGTACTGGTGAGTAGGATCCTCTTTCTCTGGTTTCCGAAGGTATCCGATAGCGTGTCCCATCCTGGGCTGGACAGGTTTCTCCATGATTGGCTTTGCACTGGTTGCGGAGAGAAGAGGAGCGGAATCGGATACGTCACTGTCTCCTTTACTCCAGCTAGGGAACCCATTATCACTGCCAGTTGATGGAAGACGACCTCCGATGGTTAGGTTGCCATTTGTTCCCGGCATAAAGTTGACATCTCCGAAGAAGCATCCGTCAGGACCTATGTGTCCCGTATGCTGAACAGTTCCTGTCGGAGCACTAATCATATCTCTGCTAATCTTCCTCCTGCTTCCTCTATCCTTACTACTCCGTGTTCCTGCTCTCTGAAATATCCCGGGCTGTTCGTTAGGAGCACTGCTCCACTGTGGAACTACTCCAGTACTCGGAAGGGTACCTAGATACGTGATTGTATGAGAAGGGATGAACCAACCAACCTTCCCTTGACAATTAACTCCGCTCCACAGGTTTCCAGCACCATGATTCTGCTTCCCGTGTTTATCTAGGACCGTGAGCACGTCTCCGACATTGTATAGCAGTAGACCAGACCCTCCTCCAGGTACTATAACCTGAACCTGCTCAGGTCTAGCATCCTCAAGCATTCCGACCAGCTGGGCAAAGGTTGGCCGGTCATCAGGTTTATGTCTCCATGTAGACTGCATGATGTTGTAGTGATCACGAGGACAGTGAACCGGTTGTTCTAACCTCTGTCCTCCGCCGGGTTCGTCAATAGTCTCGAGGATTTGGTGACCTAAACAAACCAATTCTTAGTAAAAAGAAACTGATTACTTTCCTCATAACACCAATCTTTTATCATTCTATAAACAACGAGAAGAATTAAAACTATGTAGACTAATTTGAACCAATTTTCTTCAATTTAAACCGGCACACAAGAGAAGTGGTTCAACTACGTCTTCACAGTTCAACTACGTCTCCATAGTTCAACTACTTCTCGCCATGCCTGAACCTTTCATATTTCAAACTTTCATTTCTGTCGGATTAAATCGTCATAGTTTGAAATATCGAAAGGGTACATAAACAGGTTGCTAAGATATAGGAATTGAAGAATTACAATTTTGGGCGAGTGGTCATGAATTCCACAAACAAATCTTTTTAAGTTTGTTTTTGGCATTGCTTGAAATTGTGTATTAAATGTAACAGCTGCCCATGACTGATAGCCGTAGAGAAAAAAAAACCTTTTTTAATGAAATAGAAAAAATATGTTTTTTTTAAAGGGGGGAGGGAAATGATTTTTCAAGAAAATATATACCTACTGAGAAAGAATTACCTGTCAGCGCTGCCCAGGGTTGGAAGCCGTAGCTGAACATTTCCCACATCGTTACCCCGAACGCCCAGACGTCGCTGGCACTGGTGAACTTGAGAAAGTTGATGCACTCCGGCGCACACCACGCGATCGGTAACTTTAGGTTCACGTTGAAGTTTGTCTGATAGTAATCCTTTCCAACCCCAAGGGCGCGGGATAATCCGAAATCCGAGATTTTCACCAAATTTTTGGAAAACACGAGAATGTTTCGCGCTGCGAGGTCGCGATGGATAAGTCTATTAGCCTCGAGATAAAGCATGCCTTGACAGATTTGCTGGCTCAGCTCGGCAAGGCAGGAGACAGTGAATGTGCTGCGTAGACTCGGCTCCTTTAAACACTCGAGCAAGGAGCGGAGCGGGGCCAGCTCTGTGATTAGCATGATCTGAGCGGAGTCCAGAACTACTCCGTAGAGTCGTACAATGTTGTTGTGATCAATGGTTTGCATGATTTCGTATTCCTTCATAAACTCTACTGTGTTGTTCTGCATACGCTTTTTACTAAAATAAAAATTATATCAATGCTTTATATAAATTAAAATAATTTTGATGGTTAGATTTGCATGCTTGTATTGTTCACAAAATTAGTATTTCCAGTGTAATATATATATAGTAATAAATCCCTTATTTGTAAACCTGAACATACCTATATATTATCTATACCCTAACAACGTTCATTAATATCGGTCCATATCATTAACATGTATTATAATACCCAAAATATGAATTAGTTGGACATAAACCGTTCCTTAATTACGTTTAGACACATATCAATTCTCGTGTAGAAAGCATAGAGTCCGCTCAAGTTGTATCTGTACGATAAATACTAAGAAATATTATAGCTGGATTGATAAAGACTACTTGGTATTATTATAGATTATTGAGCTCTAGAGAGAGTTGTATCTGGAATGATAGATACTGACGAATACAGAGTTTGTATCTGGATTGATAGATACTGACGAATACAGAGGTTGTATCTGGATTGATAGATATGATAGATACTGACGAATACAGAGGTTGTATCTGGAATGATAGATACTGACGAATACAGAGTTTGTATCTGGATTGATAGATACTGCCAAATACAGAGTTTGTATCTGGATTGATAGATACTGACGAATACAGAGGTTGTATCTGGATTGATAGATACTGACGAATACAGAGATTGTATCTGGATTGACACTGACTTAAAAGAAATTATTGGAGTAAGGCATTTGATACACAAGAAAAAAAATATCTGTATTATCAAACTTAGGAGGGGGTGTAACTCTACATACTACCATATTAACCAATAAAAACAAAATGGAAGTCAAATTTACTATTTTTTGCATTGTAAATCCTGCTGTGTACTTTTGATTGTTTTAGCGAATATAGTTCGAAGGTGGAAATTAATAAACAGCAAAAAGTAGCTGAACTAAGTATGGATAATTTAACTAAATCTTTAGTGTGACTAAGACTTCACAAAAGAAGAAGTTTAAAAAAAAACATACTTCTCCTTAAACAATAACCATCCTACTCAATAAACATAGTTCCGTGTATTTTTGTTTATCCCTTATACCTCAGACATTTGACAGCAACCTGATGTCTCATTCCATCTTCATCTGTCCAGACTCCCTGCTGAACAACTCCAAACTCCCCCTGCCCGAGCTCCTTGTACACGTTGATGGAGTCCGCCTGGATGATGTGCTGGGAAGGGACCTTGTTTCAGGGGTTCATTTCAAATTTTGGGTAAGATTAAATGAACTATGATATTATTTGTGACATATTTTATGGTTGTAGATATTTTGTATTAAGATACTCTTTAGGGAAGATATTTTGGTTTAAGAATAAGATTTTATGGACAAAGAACCTATCTGTGGCCGATTTCATGGCCTAATTAACTATTTGTGGCAGATTTGTTATTTAATTAAAGAAAATTGGAGTGGCTGCTGATTTGAGAAAAACCTACATCTGATCTATAGCAGACCACACATGAAAAAATCAAGATATTCTCAACATTCCTAGATGGAAGTTTCAAGTAAAATTACAATGGTTATTCCTGGCCCTGGGCAGTCCCACCCCTCAGCACTCCCCATACCGATACGCCTGGGGTCGTCTGTTTAGTCCGCTTTTAAGGCATGTTCTATTTATGAACCCTGGATGTAAGCGTACCCGGATGCAGGGTTACCAGAACCCGTAGTATTCTGTAGCCCTAGGTCAACAGATAGTATGGACTAAGAACAAATTTGTTGCCGATTCTATGGACTTTACGGGATTGTTTGCGAACATTGATATTTAATTCATATTTGATCAGACAAAACTTTTGAGGGTACCGTTGTGAACTAGGCGTTGCAATTATTGCATGGAGACTGGAGAGTCACTTGAAATTACGTTAACTGTTCCTTTAAGATACTATTTTTGGTAGATTGTATGTGTCTAAATGTTAGATATGTTGGGTTTATGAAGCGTACACTAAAACAAGGTTGACCCCAATTAATCCTAGAATAAACCCTGCCTTGATGGATCCCTTGAGGGACATATTCTCCTCCCCCAGCAGGAACTCATCCTTCACCTCCTCACGTCGACCCAACAACTTCCTAAACACACATCACATGAACTAGACAAACAACTTCTAAGAGAAATAATCTTGGAATATAATTCAATAGGCTTATAGAGCGCTTCCAATAAACAATTTTAGCTTTGATTTTCCAGTCAAAATTTGTTCCGGGCAAAATATTTTCAACTTTTACCATCAATAAACTTTCCCCAGGGTCATGTGAGTTTACAATCATTTGGGCTTGATCGGTTCAGCAGTTTCAACATTTATTGGAGACAAGAAAACAAACAGAGAGAAACAAACAAATAAAATTTAATTTATCTTAATCAAGACAATTATTTTTTTCAGCCAATAATGTTTTCCATAGGAAAAGTTTACTTTTATTATAATGAGCAAGTAATTTTAAAAATTCTACACTAACAGATGAAAAAAACGACAACACTTTCCCAATTTATGCTCAAGCATATTTAAACTATAAAGATAACGTAACCATCGCAGTTATATAAACTGTTACATTTTAGCACGTGTGCTATAAAGTTTTGATTGGGTACTGGATTTTCTCCAAACAATTTAGGATATTTCCAAAATATTTTTTTAATAAAAATACAAATTTAATTTCTTCATTCATAAAAAGCTTATTTTATCTAGAAATAGCCATTGCAAAAAGACAAGTACACAATATTTCATAAAATTACCTATTAAACTATTATTTTTGCACGACGTGCTTGAACTTAAATTTTCACTGTATTGAGAAGGTCTTTTTTATATTATATTTTGTCATGTATATATAAAGAGAAAATTTCTGTCCAAAAACTTTATTACACTGCGAACCAAAATAATAGTGGTATAAATAGTTATTACAGTCCCTTTAAATAAAAATAGCATCTTTACCTGATTTTGCTTGCATAGTTTCCAGGACAGTATTTATTAAAATATGTTTTAAGTCTCCGTGTTTCAGGTTTAGACATCCCGATGTTGGCAAGGTCGTCGTCAGTAACATATTTAAGCTGGCCAACATTATGTACCTAGAGAGATAAAGTATGATTCAAACTGTCAAAAATTATATACCTAGAGAGATAAAATACGCTTTAAGCTGTCTAAAATTATGAAATAAGAGAGATAAAGTAAGCTTTAAGCTGTCCAACATTATGTACCTAGAGAGATAAAGTAAGCTGAAAGATGACCAACATTATGTACCTAGAGAGATAAAGTAAAATTTAAGCTGTCTAACATTATGTACCTAGAAAGATAAAGTAAAATTTAAGCTGTCTAACATTATGTACCTAGAAAGATAAAGTACAATTTAAGCTGTCTAACATTATGTACCTAGAAAGATAAAGTACAGTTTAAGCTATCCAGCATTATGTACCTAGAGAAATAAAGTACGCTTTAAGCTGTCTAAAATTATGAAATTAGAGAGATAAAGTAAGCTTTAAGCTGTCTAATATTATGAACCCAAAGATATAAAGTAAGCAAGGAGTCAAAAGTTTTACGTTAAGTTACAGGAGTATATATTATTTTAAATCTTTCCCTCTTTTAAAATTTTTTTCCCAAAAAAATTGGTTTTGTATTCTATTCGCCAATTTGTGGAGCATGAATGATTTATTCGGGAAAAATAAATACAGGAAGCACTGAGAATTTGAGAAATTTTAATTGGATGGATTTCTAATGTCATTTCATTTTAAGAAGAAAAAACAATAAAAAATTCTTACCTGTAAAACATTATTGAGTTCAGTATAGTATTGAATTAGTTCGGCATCTTGTAAAAACTCATAAAGCCCAGGGGTATTTTTTATCGACATTTCCAACCATCTGAAAACATTAATATCAAGCAAGATAAGAACTTTTCAAATATCTTAGAGGAGGGGTCCCGCCGTAAAGAGGGGGGGGCCTCAGCAATCGGTGTAGGCCTGAAAACCGTTAAGTAAAGGGGTAGGTGCTTAGCCCCAAAATACGCCTCCGTGGAGGGTTACTTGAAATGTGTATTTCTTTTATCTGACATTTTAATATTTATGTTTATTTAGTGAACCCCGTGTCCGGAGTCACCTTAAGAATGTGTACGCCACCCTGACAATGTCCGTCATGGCATCTGTAAGTAATCTCTATATATATATATACATATATATATATATATATATCAAGCTGTAATCTCTGTTTGTTTATTTGTATGTCCGATCATAACATATGGACCCCTGACCTTGACCAATTAAACTAAAATTTTGATTGATTAATTCAGTAAAACCACGGAAATGTTCTTAGTCTAATATGCTGTTAGCCTTAACTGCAGCAGAAGCACACTGTTTTGTTGGTTTCAAGTCCTCTTGAATGATTACTCCTACATCTTAATATCGATTATTTCTGCAGAGAAAGGTTAGCTTCAGACCATTAAAAGGCCGAACGCTGCAGAGAGGAAAAGGCTTGCGGGCCGAGCGCTACTGAAAAGACAGTGTGCCGATCACCGCAGCTCGGATGGGACAAGGAACCATATACTGCGACCGTGCAATTTCTATATTTTGAGAATCAATCATTCTCACCCACGCCCAGAGACATCTTTATAACCGTGGAAATTCCTTTTAAACATATTATTAGACACAAAATATGGATTAAGTAATAAATAGGTATACAAAATTACCCTAGAACATATCAATCTCAACGAGTTCAAGACAGCTAAAAAGCTAAATAATTACTGATATAAAAAATTTGATTGATTAATTAAATTGTAACGTATTATCAACTGAATACCCTCAGGAAATTCCGGTTTTTAACGATTAAATAACATTCTGAAATACGACTTATTTCCCACATGTTAATTTGAGTACTTTGAATACTTAATTTCATAACAAACTAAGCTCAAAGTTCATTTAATGTTTTAAAGAGTTTTTTATTTAATTTAGCTGGGAATTGCCGCAACTAGTTCCAAAGTTATAAATAAGTTTTGAATGCCATTAATTATGCGGTAAGAAGGTTTCGTGATTATCTAATTTTGTCACAAAATAGCTCCGTTTTGAGACGTGGGAGTACTTCGAGAAAAATTACGATTCCAAGTTCCAAGCAAGAAAAAACCGACACAGGACCCTGAGATATGAACAAAAAATTATTACTATTAATTCTACACAAACTACAAACAACTTCAGAAAAAGTAAATTACTAAAAAATTAATCGATTCCGTCATGAATGTACAGGGTGTCCCACGAAACATGACAATAGGAAGACGACTTGAAAGTCGTCTTTGGTATTTGAATTTATTTGTGACATTTAGTCTACTATCTACTATAACATGTATGATTCTTGAAACAATTATCACATAATTCTCCTAGCCCTGGCATTTCCAAAAAGTGGTCTGCGTTTTTTGTGCTTTCAATATTACCTGAGATATAAAGAGTTTGGTTCAGATTTCAATTTTGTTAAATAAAAGCAAAATTGTNTTTATTAGACCAGCCAGACTTCTTCTAAAATTAGGTTGACAAATAAACGCAGCAAATTATATCAAAAATCAAGACGACATGTTTCGTCATGTTTCGTGGGACACCCTGTACCACCAGGAAAAGTTGTAGTGAATGATGACATTTGATCTTGAACGAAAACAAACAAAAAACGTAAAAAAATTTAAAAATCCATTAAAAAATATGTCTTGAAAAAAGTGATGTCAATTATGTTGCTTAAGTGATGTCATTTAATTAATTAAGCGATTCATCCTTGCAGTAACGTCTCTTGTCTTATGGCGTATACGCCCTTGAAAATTGGATTTAAGGTATTAACTGTCACAATGAAGTCTGGATAATAGTTCTTCAAAAAATCATCAGGACACCCTGGATTTACAACAATCAATATATTTACATGTTTTAAGCAACTTCCTGTAATAATCTAATATTCACGCAACCTAACTGCTGTAGAAACACATCGCCGCGAGTCGTCTTCAAAAAATATCCCGACCTCTATAATTTTCTAATAACACGTCATTATAAACAAGATAAGAGCTATTTTATAATCTGGAATTTCAAGTGCGTAGATTCTAGAAAATTCCGAATTTCGTCGGAAAATTCTCTTTAAATTTAGCGTTTTTATGAGTGAGTGAACGCGTTTTAAAGTTAAACTGTTGACAAAATACAATATTTAATTATTAATTGGTGTTTATTTTTAACATTTGTTTTGGCAGCCATAATTCTAACACAAATTTAAATATTATAAGAGTGATCGTGTTAGCTATTAACAATTGTTGAATTTGACCGCATGATTCTAGTCTAGAAATTTTCTAATTTTTGATTTAACATTTTTTCAGATTTACAACAACGATAGAAATGGCGGCTACCGTCGATAATTTTCTTAATTCTTTCAACACTAAGTTGTAAGTATACCCAATATACTTAACGTAGAGATTTAAAATAAATTTTGAGTCCAGAGTTTATGCCAAAAAAACGGCCTATTCACAATGGAAGCATTGAAATATGTATCTAGGTGTAAACCTGGGGTCTGTCCTTGTGAATGAGGTAAAAGCTAGTTTATTTATTAAGTGATATCTTGGCAACCCATTTATGCCTGGACACCAAACTTTATTTTCCCACTCGATTAAGAATTTTTGAACAATAATAATGAACATTTCCAATTCAAATTTGAGGCAAATCGGTTGATCAAGGAATTCATGAGCTATAATCGGACATGCAAACGAAATATTTAAAAACCTACATTAATATATGTTATGGAAATATTCTAGAGGTTGTGGGAATATTTCACCCCAAATTCTAAAAATATAGGTTGCGGGAATATTTACCCCAAAATTCTAAATACAAAGGTCACATTTATTATTTATGTTTCGAATTAACTTGTGGTTTATTTTAAAAAATTTGAGGAACAAAAATCTTAAAGCAAATTCATTGAAAAATTGGTGTTTAGGCCACTGGAGCATATGTTCACCTGTTCACTGATATGCTCCGGGGAGGAGGGATTGTATTCTCTCTACTTGGAGCTGGGTTAGCTCTAGGACTCTTCTTCACTCCAGACAATGGAAAGAATAGGTTAGTGATAATCATAGAGGTTTGTATTTTATTCATAAATAGTCACCCCAATGCGCATCTAGGGTTCTTTAAAAAAATTGTACACTTGTATTTTCTTCAAAAGTCAAAAGATACGAGTGCGTGCAAGATTTAATTAAATAGCTAAATTTAATTAATTAATTAATAATTTAATTTTCAAACGAGTTGGAGTTTCCGTTTTCAATTCATTACTATACCCCCAGACCCAACAGCACCCCATACGCTTTAATAAAATCTGTGCGTACCTTTAATTCTAAATTTTATTTAAAAAAAGATAGCTGCGTTTTTTTGCAGATTTTTCAATTTCATGTTTGAACAATGAATGAGGATACATTGTTTAGACATGTTTTGGGGTTAAAAATAAATAATTGAATTTAATCTGGTCAAGCCAATTTACTGTTTTTAATAGTTTAAAAAAACTTTTTTTACTAAAAAAGTCAGTCATTTAAGGGGGGGTTGAACTTTATTTTGTGAAACTCATGATTTACTTTTGTTGTTTTATTAGACCAGCCAGACTTGGAATGCTCCTGGGGTTTGCTTTCCTAACTGGACTCGGCCTCGGCCCTCTTCTCGACCTCGCGATCATGATGAACCCCAGCATCGTCCCCTCAGCCCTCATGCTGACCTGCATGGTGTTCGCCTGTTTCTCCGGCGCGGCTCTGTTTGCTCCGGACGGGAAGTATCTGTATCTGGGTGGATCTCTGCTCTCTGGACTCTCAACTCTGTTTTTCCTCGGACTCCTCAACATCTTCTTCAGATCTCAGCTACTGTTCCAGGTTAGATATTACAGGGACTGTTGACGCAAATTTTAACTGACCTTCCATTTATCGAGTTGGAGGTCTGATTCACAACGGTACCATTATAAGCTTTGTCTGATAAAGCACGAATGTGATATCCACGTTTATCTTTTTGAAAATTGATAAATCTTTAATTGTGAATTGGGTCTCCTACATGGCCCTTCTTACATGAAGGGTCACTTGAAATTAAATCGACAGTCCATATAAAAGGGGTTCGACAATTTTCGTATCGGATTTTTTGCGGTTAGATTTATGAGAAATTACTTGGCCGGGAAAAAGCATAAAATATTATTAAGCTTGAATTTTTTTTTTTTTGCTAAGTTTTAATGTTTTAGAATAAAACCAAAAAGAAAACAAAATAAAATAAAAATTCCTACCATTATACAATTTTGTGGAAAAATTATAATTTAAAGCTTTTCCTTGGCTGAGGATTAATTTGAAATTGATTTTGAAATTATGTTAAAATATTTCCGAAGGCACTTGTGAGAGAAATACATGTTGGACTTCATTTCTGATAACAAATCTCGTCATTTTTCTAGTATTTTTCCTACTTCTTTATACATAGTTTTATATTTTTACATCATTTTTTTAGATGAAAAATTTAAACTCTAATAAATTCTTGAATATTTAGGCTCATCTGTATCTCGGCCTAGCAATCTTCTGCGGATTTATCATGTTTGATACTCAAGTCATCATTGAGAAGGTAAGATATTGGCCCCTTTTTTAAGGTTTTATTCGCTGAATTGGGGGGGAACAGCCTGTGTTACCTGTTGTACCCATAGGTTTCCTCAAAAAAATTCAGGTTTTTGGCTAGCTGGGGAAAGCTTGAGGGGATTAAAGGTCCGGCAGTGGAACGGGTATTGGGACGGTGCTTCCCATACCTGGCAGCGGTCTGGGGGGTTCACGTTGGGGTCTCATACATATTCCATTTCCTTATGTACCTTATGGCAAACATATAAATATATATATGAGCAAAGCAAAGGGCTTTATTATATAGATATAGATATTCAGAGAGTATCCTTTGGAACCCATCGTATAGATTATGCATTTAAATAGTTTGCACATTTCTTCAATAGGAAAATTACAGAGATATAGGAAAATATAATGGTGGCTTTTTATATTTTTGACAAAGAAATGTCTCATTTTGTTAAAATGGTTATCCATACAAAATTTACCATTTGTGGACTGTTATTTTATTTAAAGTCTCTTCCCCTTTATTCTTTGAAATGTCAAATATATATGAAATGTCCTGTCCATAAAATGTCTTGATATCTTTGAAATGTCTAATGTCTCTAAAATGTCCTGTCCATGAAATGTCTAATACCTATGAAATGTCCCGTACACGAAATGTCCTGTCCATGAAATGTCTAATCTATATAACACAAGACATTCGTATATATATATATATATATATATATATATATATGTTGTCTATAGCCGGCCAAACGGCTTGACCGATTAGGAATGGATGGCTGGGGGTTGTTATAGGCTAAAAAATCCACGGGCAACGCCGGGCCCTTCAGCTAGTATCTTTTCAATGTCCCGTCCATGAAATGCCTAATATCTATAAAATTTCCTGTCCATAAAATGCCCTATATCTTTCAAATGTCATATTTCTTTAAAATGTCCAATTCTGTATTATATCATTTCTATGAAATGTCCCAATAAATTATCGCCTAAAATTTTAAAAGGGGTTAAACTTTAAAATATTAGGCTCGTCGTGGAGACAAGGACTTCATTGCTCACTCCCTGGACCTCTTCATCGACTTCATTCAGATTTTCAGGAAGGTTCTTATCATCCTCATGCAGAAGGTCAGTTTTTTATATATACTTTGTCTTGCAGGGGTATATATTTTCATTAAATAGACTTAGGTGTAATTTCAAATGACTCTCCATGCAAAGATGGCATTGCCCGATTTACAGCGGTACCCTTCATAGCCTAATCTGATGAGAAGTTACCGTCGTTTTTCTGACTCGAAAAGTGTTAATTTATGCGAGTTTCTCTATTGCTTCTTATAAACAAGAAATGCGCAAGTCACTTCCGCAGAGAAACCGCAAATGAAAATTAACAGTTTAAAGAAACATATACATTGATATTAATTCATACTTGATCAGACAAAGTTTACAATGGTACAGTTATAAATCGGACATTCCCATCTTTTCATGGAGGGTCACTTGAACTTACGCTTACAGTCCCTTTAAAATCGAACATAATTTTTTTTGTAAATGATATTTAGGTTGAAATAAAATTTGGGTAAAAAGCATAATAAAATAATATAAAAACTCTTATGCTTACCTTTGTCATCTATACATTTTTCAAATGTGGTCTAACCCCGCCATCTTCTTTGAAAATGGCATATATTGTATATTGAAATAATTGGTTGTTTTTTTTTATTAATAAAATTTTAATATACGTCGGAGCTACGTCAATAGCATTCAAATTTATCGTAAAATTAATTTTCTTTTTTTTACAATTCTAAAGCTAATCTGTTTTTTTGTTTAATATTCTTTTTATTTTTTTGTTCTGAAAAGACAGAATTAATATTATGATCGCATCCTAAAATAACAACTTTTTACAAAATTTGAATTAAATTTCTTGTTTGCAATCCTAGAAGACTAACAAGGTTTGACGTTTATTTCTTTATTCACAATTCAACAAGATGAGTATATGACGAATCATCTGTTTTAGATAGTTTGCACCCTTTTTTATTTATTGGGGTCATTTTGATTACCTAATTTTTTTTCACTCTAAAACCGTATCAATTTACAATAATATTTTAAATTCAGTGGGTTATTTATTATGATTCAGATAAGAGGTTCAATTATGCAAATTAGTTAAGTATAATTATGAAACATCCAACAATTACTTTATTTGACTTCTATCAGTTTTAGCATATCTAAAAGTTAATTTTTTATCCAAATCATATCTGTTAAATTTATTTTGCCCTATTAAATTTTTTTGCATGCATTTTAAATCCTTTTTCAAGGGAAAGCTTATACTTTTTATTTTTGGTCCCCTTTAAACAAATATTTCTGGATCACGTGAAAGATACCGTCACTCTAGTTGACAAGTGTTTAATTCTTAAATATCCTGGATTGTTTCGAAAGTCATAGATATCCGGAATTCACCTCGTTAAAAGAAGCCCAATTAAATGGAAAACCTTAAAGCTTTTAAGAGTACCATTGTGAATCGGACATGCCATTCTGTACTTGAAATATCTTCAACTATCCCTTTAACCAGTGTTCTGTTTCAGGAGGAGAGCAAGGACAAGAAGAAGCGTTGAATCAGATAAAAGTGGCTGCGTGAGATTTTATTATTATCTTGAGTGTTACCTAAATAATCTCACGCCAGCAATCGGAAACATTCCTCTAATTTATTTATTCACTCGGAGTTTCGGAACTTCAGAAATTCGAACTAATGAACTTTTGGAATTGCGGAAATTCAAACTTATGGAGTTTCGGGATTTTTAAAGTTCTATTTCTCAAAAATTGAACAAAGGGTTTCAAAATTCCAGGATTTCCGATTAACTCAAGAGTTTCGCAATTCTAGAAATGCTCTGTTTTGCGATTTCGGAGTTCCGACATTGCAAAAATTTAAATTGTCACTCTCAAGTATCAGTCCACGAAAATTATGTCGTAAATCTACTTATTTTTCTGTGTATTTTTGTAATTGGAGTAAAAAACAGAATAAACGATTATATATGTAATAATATTTAAAATACTTGCCTTTAAACAAAGAAGGATAATGAAGTGTCAAAATTTGCCATAACAGTTAATCCAACAGATGGTATGTATCCGCCTCCGATAAGTTTTTGTCGTAACGAGGCTCAGTGATTCAGAATTAGGAAAAAGGCCTAAAATCACTATTTATAGTCGAGGTTTTGTTAAATTCATGGTAAAAATTTATACAACTATGATAATTCCAAGTTTTATAACGGGGTCATTTTCTTTCATCGGCCAAAAATGAGCAACTATAGAAGTGACTGGAATATCAGGTTCAACCCGACCGGAATAATACCGGGTTTAGTTATTCAACACGACCGGACCAGGAGAACATTATGTTCAATTATTCAACACAGCCCGGAAAATATCAGGTCCAGTTATTGAAACTAACCCGTAAAATATCATGGTCATAGGTTAATCAAGTTTTATTTTTTTATTTTTTATTAATTTTTTGACACAGCTATAATAATTGCATTTTTGTATTATTTATAACTACATCAAAATGCTTGAAAAGCCATTAAGGTTTAAGGTTCGTGACATATTGTTATGAATCTATGTCACATTAAAGGGTTAGATTTATCATCAAACATCTGTCTTTTCAATCCCTGAAAAGTCAATTACTAAGACATTTAAAGAAAATTAGTTCAAAAAAGTATAATAAAACGACTGACCGCATTTGGAAATGCCACCGGGTGGATTTTTTAGCTTTTGTTTTTAAAATCTTGCACGTGAAAGCAGGTTGACGAATGAATGTAAAAGTAGGTTGACTAATTAATCTAAAAGTAGGGTTACGAATGAATGTGAAAGCAGGTTGGCGAATGATTGTAAAAGTTGGTTGACGAATGAATGTAAAAGTAGGTTGACGAGTGAATGTATAAGTAGGTTGACAAATCAATGTAAAAGTAGGTTGTCGAATGAATGTAAAATTAGGTTGACGAATAAATGCATAAGTAGGTTGACGAATGATTGCCAAAAATTGTTTTAACTATCAAGACAACCTATCTCAATCTTCTTATTTCCTGGGACCTATGCATACGAATAAGATTTTTTTTGGTCCCGAAAATATTTGATGCATCCAATGCCTTCACATAAAGGAATCTCATTTTATATCTTTATAAATACTTTCTTTCTTTGTTTGTTTGTTTGTGAAAACGGCTAAACCAATCAGACCCAAATTTTAGTGGGGTCTCGCATGTTCACCGGAAAGGTTTGGATTTTCAAAATTCAACAAAACTGCCTGAAAAAAACGATTTTTCCAAATCGCCCAAAAATATGATAAATTCGTGAAAGAGAAACTGCCGCAGTTATAGCACCAATCAAAAGTTTAAAAGTCTAGTAATGATTAAAAATAATAAGAATCTTTTTTTTTAAAAGGGCTGATAACACTTGCCTCAAACTCTAAATTAATACTTAAATGTCTGCAACCTTTGAAATACTAAAGAAGAACTATCAGGTTGCAAAGATAAAGGGGTTAAAAAATGGGTTAAGAGTTTGAGGAAAGTGTTTGTTTACAATTCCTTTCCTTTAAAAGCTGCAAGTGTGATCATTTATCAGTAAATAACAAATTAACAAACATTTATTCTCTATTTCATACAATAATTAATAAATAATTATTGCCAACAATTCAAACACTTAATACTTTAAGTTTTCACAGTACTGGGTAAAAATTTTCACTTCCCTACAAAACAGTTTTATAACACATATTTTTTTGGAAGAAGTAATATACAAGACAAAACCATATTACATTAATTATTATTACTATCAATTGTAATATTCGTTCATCTTGTCTTGTATTTTTACAGTTGTTTCTCAAATCATCCTTGCTAAAGCTGCCAAACTCATCACTTAATAATATTATTTTTAACCCCAAACCAGCTCAATCTCTGAACAATTGATACTCAATTTCAGAAACAAAAAAGTATCAATTTACGAAAAAGCCTTTGGCATAGCTCACAACCTTATCATCTAATAACACTAATAAAACTGGTAATACGAAAGTGTATATTCTGACAACACTAGACAACAGACTGATAGAGCTATCACTACTATCCTTATCATACCGCATGAGTATTTTAACTAGAACCATAATTCCAAATAAGCTCATGACAAAGGTAACAGTTGAAGATCTGAGAAGGAAGTCCTTCATTGGTTTATAAACCAATTTCCACTGAACTTCAGAGCGAGGCTTCAGTGCCTTTGATTCCTTTGATTCTTTCTCCTCCCTTGAATTGACTGTAAATTGCAAAGGTGGAAGAGAATGTCTGCGCCTCGCCGTCCTTCGAACATTGAGTAACATATGATACTGTTTACCCTCACTGCCTGTTAATTTAGTTGGTCTAATAATGTCTATATTTCTTTGATTGTTACATTCTGTAACGTTGTTGGTTAAATGTAATGCAGGCATCCCTGTTTCCACTGAAACCTCTGTTCTGGGTAAAGATGACTGTTGAAAGGTAGGTACCTTTTCAATGGCGTCCAACGCATCAATGCACCTGTCTAAATTAGATTGCTGAAGAGAGCCACGTGGTCCAGTGCACTTTACTGATTCGATCTTTTCTACAGCTGATGTTGGAAGGGGGGACTGGACACTTGTATGTGACACTGGCTCATTATTAACTTCATCAAAAGAATGTATTGCAGTTACTTTTTTTATTTCATGCCCAATATCTTTTGAACATGTCATGGTACCAGCTTGGATAGAAACTTCATCTCTCAGAATAGCTAATTCTTCCTCTTTTTCTGTGTTGTCCATTTCTATAGCCACTGAACTCAGCAAATCAGATAGTCGGACAACAGCCACCATTTCTTTGCTCTCTGAAGCTTTTCCAGGAGAGGCAGAATAATGATGTACCAATTCGTTTTCTTTATCACCGACTGTATCTAAACTCTTTAAAGCAGTAAGTTGTGTAGAAGAATATTCTGCGGTGTTTTGTAGAGAATTTGAGTCCAGTGAAACTGATTGTACAACATGGGGGTCTTCAGTCCTCGTTACTTCTAAGGACTTAACAGCTAATGGTTTGTTACTTATGGGTTGAGTCAGGATAGCTGCCTTAGATGAAAGAGATCTTTTAAGATTAGTTCTTCTTTGCTGGTTTGAACTGACATTTTTCCTTAGTAACCTTTTTTTTCTGGGTGTCTTCAGAGCTGGTGCAGTTTTTTTGGCTTTCTTAAATGATCTGACAAAATAGATGACAATTTTGATACCCTCAAGCAAAGCTGATATGAATATCATTGCTCCAATTATTTTAATCTCCGCACATTCTGAACCTGTAGACTTGTCATGAGAAGAATACTTTGGGAAATCTGTTCCAGAAGTAGTGCTAGAATAGGACTGATTTGACATTTGGAAAGATATGTTGATTTCTTCTCTCATGAAGGAAACAGTAGGAGTCTCATAATTGTTAGAGTGAATCAGGAGGCATCTTATATGATTGATTAAGAAATCTGAGACAACTACAGACGTGATAAACATTGCTGAAAGTCGTAGATATAGCTTCTGGTTGATGCCTTGATAGAAACCAGGACTAGCAATAAGAACAAGACGAGCTCCAGACATTGTCAACAGTGAAGCACATACACAGCATCCTATTGGTCTGTTATTTAGCACATAGTTGGCTATTTCCAGATGCCCCGAGTAGAATGAGTTTAAACTTGTATGTGCCAAGTTGGTAACTATTCTTAGAATAGAAAAATGGACAATGGATAACTCTTCCATGAACAGGAACTGAATACCGAGCCCTCCGAGTAAGGTTTTCTGATTGGCAGTTCCAAGAAAAGCTTGGTAAATAGTGCAGGCAGTGAAGGACAGGATGGCACTGAACGTGTCCACAGTAAGTGTATACATGTTGGGATTTTTCGGTACAGACAGTACTAAACAACAGTACACTACCGAGAAGGTGTAAATACACCATTTTTCCATCTTCATAGTGGTCAGATAGATACTAGAATTGGTTAAACTGAGTTTACAACTTTATATTGTAACGTTATATCTATAGCCTGCTTCTCTTTACTCTTGACTACCTTTATGAATAAGAGAGAAAAATTAATAAATATCATGCATTGTTTCTTTTCTCTGTTATGATTGTGAATCTTGGTTGCTGAGTAACCGGAGATAAAGAGGCCAATGTGACCAATAATACTCTTTAATCATAGATTTAGTCTTAGACTCTGAATAAATGTCATTATTATTTATACAAAAAGGGGCTGATTAATTTCCAAAAACACTAATTTTCTAATCCCTACATTATGCAACCTGATGGTGCTATTTTTAATTTATTCTGTCAGATCTAGAAGAATTTACAGTCGATCTGTAGCATCATTATCATATAATGAATTAGATTAGATAATTAGAGATGGTAAATTTTCTTCATTACTGCCAGGCTTTAATTTGTGTTGCTCTTCAGTGTTCATGAAGCAGTTGTCACAGTGTGGATATCTTCCCTAAGCTTTATCTTTTTATGATTTTCTCTAATCAAAGGACGCCCAGTATTTCCTGGAATTTAATAAAATCGCCAATTCTGGGCAGAAATTCTAGATCTCTCGCATTGTTATGATTAATATGATGGAAATACCCATATATATTCTATGTTATCCAAGGGAGTAAATGAAAAAATTCTTTTTATAACATCACTTTAAGTGTTAGGTTTGGTTGGCGAGGGAGGGAATGCAACCTCCCCCACACAGCTTCCAAACCTCATTTTAACTATTTGCGGCAGTGCTTCCGAACCTCCCCCAAACAGTCTTCCTGGAAGGATCTTCCATTTATAATCGTCTATTTCTACTTAAAATGGGACTAATTTGATTATTTAAGCACGGTAGTCGATCTATAGTTTTCTTAACATTTATATAATATTTTTTTTACAATATATATATTAAAATAAATAACGATTTATTGTGATAAAATCAAAAAGTGATTATCATTTACAGTTAATTATGAAACAAAAAGATTATCGGTTCAGCAGTCTCTGGATATGAGGAATAGCAGATTTTCTATATTTTTCTGTCCTGACATGATTAACATGATACTGCTCCTGGTGGCGTAGTTGATGTTCATGTGGGTGAACTGCAGTAGGGAAGAGATGACGATGTTCAGAAGATTTAATACATATTTAATATATATATAGCAAATTTCAAAATGTTCAAAGTTTGGACAATTTTATGATGCATTTTACTTCTATTAAAAGTTAATGCTACTGCAGCCTTAGTTTTCAATTGATTTACTTTTTTGGATTTGCCTAAACTCAGATTTTCTAATCCTTATATATCATCGAAATCCAATGTCGTAGATATTATTACTACTAATTCGATCTAAGTTTTAAATATCGTGTGATAGGTGGCTAAGATTAGAAATTTAGGATTCTGGCAAAGACTTAGTTTGTTTGAAATCCAACCGAAGATTCAAGGTTTTTGTTTGCCCCATGTTAACGAAAATTTTTCATAGTTCAGTTCAGAATTGAAAAAGGGAAAGTCATGATAGAGAATAAAAGATTTTTTAAATTTTACACCGTCAATTAATTTAGTTGGAAGCAAACAGGTTTTTCATTCATTTTTTCTAAAGATTGCCTCCTGTATATTCATTTTTCTTCGGTTAAAGGGAATATAGACGTAATTTCACGTGACCCTCCATTTTTAAAGTAATCAGATAAAGTTTCTTTTAATGAATAATTCATCTTGATTCAGATANTCCTGAATCAGATAAAGTTTTTAATAATGAATAATTCATCCTGAATCAGATAAAGTTTTTAATAATGAATAATTCATCCTGAATCAGATAAAGTTCCTAATTATTTTCTGTTGGGAATCGGAAATTCCCTTCTATACATGAAATTAGTTCTTCAGTCCGCAGTCTTTTTCTTTCTGGCATTAAACCTTCCCTGCGGCCATGTCAGTCCCCACAAGAAAGTTAAATTTAATCTGTTTAGGGTTTCCAACGAAATTGATTTTTTAATTACGCGAAATTACGCGCAGATACGCAAAATTAGTGTTTATGCCTGTCCCAAAATAACTATAAAGGAGAAAGATAAAAAACAGAAGATGTGCCATGTTTACGTAGATTATTGTAATAGAAAATAATAAAAATAAATCAATTCTGTTTGTAAAACTAAATAAAGAAATACTAAAATATTTTGTTCTTCAGAATCTGTATAATTAATCTGATCTATTTTTTTAAATTAAGAATTACCGAAAGTTACACGAGCGGTGTACGTTGCACGGGTATATGCATTTCTGAGAATTAATATGTACCTTAATAATTACGGAATATTTTCGTATTATGTAATTTAACGTAATTACGCCTTAATTACGCGAAACTAGACTTTCTGTTCAACCAACCCTGGTTAGGCAGTTCCAAACTGCGTAGTAAATTGTGATTGCTTATTTGTAATATCTCATGCTTTGTAGTTGAATAAATATATGAATATGAATGAATGACAAGAAAGCTTATATGACATTTTTTATCTATTCATCATTTTGTTTACTTTTTTCATTTAATTATAAAATGAGTTTTTAATCTGTTTTTATTCGTCAATTTATCTATTCAGCCAAAATTAGTTTTTAAAGATTCGCATATGATTATTGATTTTTCCCCCAAATTGCATGTTTCTCAATATTTTTTATTTTTTGATCCTAACGGAAATTTGGACCACAAAATGGATTTTTTTTACACAACTTGATGCTGTTGTCATGTCCCCCCACCCCCCTCCACGTTCTAATGTCCCCTCTTTTTTTGCTTAATGAAACTATTTAGTAGTGCGGTTTTATGAAAACACTTAGTAAATTGTGCTTTTTAATCTGCATTTTAAATAAAACTATGTTTTCTCCCAAACCTGACCAAATATGTAAGCCCCCCCACCCCAAACCTGACCAAATATGTCTTCCCTCCCCCCATCTTTTTAAAATTACTTAACTATTAATTGTAAAGTGTTTATGTTTCTTAGCTGTTGTGTATATTTATAGACCTGCAAGGGGGTGAGAGGAGGACTACAAATTTTAGAAAGTAAAAAATTTAGTTTTATGAAAAATAAGCTATCAAGAGCTGACATAAAAAATATTCATCCATTTTATAAATTTTTAGTAAATTTACTCTGTAATAGTGCGTGTACTATTTCTATCCATCTAATTTACTGGATGCATCGACCAGTAGAGCAGACAATGTATGTTGACCCGCCCTCTGAGAGTTGTGACCGGCCTGTCCTGGCCAGCTGCCAACTTCAGTGCACAACTCCGTCTTACAGTGTCGCCTGTGATAGAGAGAGGAGAAGAGATATTAGTGCTTTAATACTATACAGTGATTAAGTCAAGGGGGGTGGGGGATATGCCAGTTAGACAGGAATATTCCAGCCAAGGCTATCGGCAGGCTTGTTGTCCCTTTTCTAAACGGTCAACCATGAAATGTTGACCGGTCGTTTGGTTGTTAGTGATACCATTGGCTTTGACGGTTGAGATCAAGGTATAACTATGGTGTACGTCTACGTCTGCAAGAGGTTCAAGGTGGCGATGGAGATGGTGAGCGGAAAGGATTCAGAGTGGATTTTAAACCTCGTCAAATTTTACCTGAAGCATCGACGGAAAGAGATGCAGAAACTAGAGAGGGCGGAGGTTAATCCTAAGAAGCGACTAAATACCTGCTCTTACGATTCCTCCTCTGATGTGTTTAAGATCAATCTAGTTTACAAGGACCAGAAAGGGGTTGACCAGGAACTCAAATGGATCATCAAGGTCACCAGGTCGGATATCAACGAAACCGCAAATATTCTGCTACGGCACGAAAAGCAGGTTTTCTCACGCCTCATCTCCGACCTGATTAATTCCATTAAACAGAAATCCACCTCCTTCACAGACGGGTCCCGTGTAAACTATAAGGATCTAATTCTAGTCCCAGAATACATCTACGACGAGACGACCCATGCGGCTGATGTGACCAGGAATGTTCTGGTTTTAGATAATCTAGAGGAGAAACAGTACTTTACTTTTACATCAGGGAATATACAGTTTATACAGATTAATCCAGAGATGAGAACTTTTGAATCGGCGGAATGCGTTAAACTTAGTTTTACCATTCCAAACTAACAGGGGGGAGGGGGAGGGGAGGATTTCAAATAGTTTATCAATATTTTTAAAGAAATTCTACACTTACCACAAATTCTGATATTAATTCCTAAATGTTATTAACCTTATAGTGTAAATCTTTGATATTTCGAACATAAACTTTTCGATTTAATTTAATTTATGGTTTGAAATATAAAAGGTTTACGGCAGTAGGCTGCAAAGATATAGGAATCCGAATTTTCGATATTGTTGCGAGTGTTTAGTTTCTTTCAGAAATTAAACCCCAAAATTTAAGAATTTATAAAACATTGTTACGATTTTTCTTGATCTCAAGTCAAGAAAATTTTTGAAAAATTTATTGCATGCTTTTACAAAAGTAAGGATTCCTTTTTTAACTCAAAAAGTTGTTATTAGATATATATATATATATATATTTGATATATATACAGAAGAAAAAAGATTTCCCAATGAATCATAGGCAAACTGAATCATTTTTTAAAACTGTTCTTTTATTGTAGAAATTCAAATAAAACATAAAAGTTATTTTTTTCCATTAAAGAATTTATTGTGGGTGGTAACCTAATACATTTATTTGGACGTCATGTTTTTTACAGACTTTTTTAATTGCGCTTTACGTTTATAAAATGGCATTTTAAAGTGACAAGTAAAAACTTGAATTTGTTTAATGTTTATTCTTTCTTTCATATTCTCGAAACAATTAATTGTTGTTAATTGAGGTTTCTACGTAAAAGTAAATGCAGTAGAGAAAACAAAGAATATTGTCAAAATTAACAGTTTTTAAGATATAATTGCTACGATATCTTCCTCATTCTTACTCAGATAAATATTCAAAGGGTACCTTTATAAATCGAACATGTCACACTTTAAATTAAAAGCACAGTTGAAATTCCGTCTTCAGTCACTTTAAGAAAAACTTTAATCTTATTTTTGTTGTTTTTTGCGTTGATTTAAACTCATTCTTGTATTTACAATGTGTGGAGCAGAAAGGCCTAAAAGCTATTATACCCTCCTCTCAGAGTTTAAATGTTAAAATGAATTTTTAACAAAACAAACTCAAAACAATGTAATCCTAGTTTTCATTTTCAATTTGTTTAAATAAACTCATTTTAGTTTTTAGAATTGCTAAGGGGACTTTGCACGAGATTTGAATTTACTATTTGATTTTAAAAGAGACTTAAAAAAACATTTATTTTATGTTTATAAAATGATGTATTTTGAATCTCTAAAAGGATTATTATTTTCAGTGATCCTGCATTTAATTTAATTCCACTCCATATTCACAAGGGTCCTTTAATCCCTTTTCTGAATAAGAATATGGAAATTGATGTTGTTTTTCTTGAAAAATATCATAATTTCCCTGAATTACTTTTACAGAGAAGCTCCAGTTAAAAACAGTTTAAAGGAACTGTAAACGTACTTTTAAGTGATCCTCAATTTCGACTGATTTTCAAATATATGGTGCCCTTAAACCCGTCAACTGCAGACCAAGAATAATAATATTCATGTTTCTTTTTTTAAATATAATTATTTTTAATTGGAACATCTCCAAAAAGGTGAATTGCGGATTTCTACTGACAGAAACAACGGGGTTAATTGTCTGAATTCATTACTCTTTAAGGTAGAAAAACGAAGATATCTTTTACATTATTGATCAGATAAAGGTTTAAAGGATATACCTTTAGTATAGAATACCCTTTTTTAAATGGTGGGTCACTGGAAATTATGACGATGTTTATGTTTATGTTTATGCTTATGTTTATGTATATTTGTATGTTTATGTTTATGTATATGTGTATGTTTATGTTTATGTTTATGTTTATGGGTTACAATTTTAAATCGGATATCCAACTCTTTATCTATGGGGGGGGGGGGCACTTGGCAATTGCCTTCCGGACTATTTAAATCTAAAAAAAATAAACTGGATACTTTGGTGGAGGTAGGATGCTTAAACCTCGCCCATTTCAAGTGCGCTGTGAAGACGATTGCTAAATTCCATGCAGTTGGTTTATGTCACAAACAGATGCTTTGGCATACCTTTGCCCAGCAGAGCAATCAGGCACAGGCCAGCAAATCATTCGAGGACGTTGAAGTCGAAGGTATGTAGGACAAAATATACTAAAGGACGTTGACGTCTAAGGTATGTAGGACAAAATATACTAGAGGACGTTGAAGTCTAAGGTATGTAGGACAAAATATACTAGAGGACGTTGAAGTCTAAGGTATGTAGGACAAAATATACTAGAGGACGTTGAAGTCGAAGGTTTGTAGGACAAAATATATTACAGGACGTTATAGTCAAAGTTCAGTAGTACAAAATATGGCTGAGGACGTTGAATTCGGAGGTATGTAGGACAAAATATACTATAGGACGTTGAAGTCGAGGGAATGAAGGACAAAATATACTAGAGGACGTTGAAGTCGAAGGTATGTAGGACAAAATATACTAGAGGACGTTGAAGTCTAAGGTATGTAGGACAAAATATACTAGAGGACGTTGAAGTTGAAGGTATGTAGGACAAAATATATTACAGGACGTTATAGTCAAAGTTCAGTAGTACAAAATATGGCTGAGGACGTTGAAGTCGGAGGTATGTAGGACAAAATATACTATAGGACGTTGGAGTCGAAGGAATGAAGGACAAAATATACTAGAGGACGTTGAAGTCGAAGGTATGTAGGACAAAATATGCTAGAGGACGTTGAAGTCGGAAGTATGTAGGACAAAATATACTAGAGGATGTTGAAGTCTAAAGTATGAAGGACAAAATATGCTAGAGGACGTTGAAGTCGAAGGTATGTAGGACAAAATGTACTAGAGGACGTTGAAGTCGAAGGTATGTAGGACAAAATATATTACAGGACGTTATAGTCAAAGTTCAGTAGTTCAAAATATGGCTGAGGACGTTGAAGTCGGAGGTATGTAGGACAAAATATACTAGAGGACGTTGAAGTCGAAGGAATGAAGGACAAAATATACTAGAGGACGTTGAAGTCGAAGGTATGTAGAACAAAATATGCTAGAGGACGTTGAAGTCGGAGGTATGTAGGACAAAATGTGCTAGAGGACGTTGAAGTCGAATGTATGAAGGACAAAATATGATAGAGGACGCTGAAGTCGAAGGTATATAGGACAAAATATACTAGAGGACGTTGAAGTGGAATATATGAAGGACAAAATATACTAGAGGACGTTGAAGTCGAATGTATGAAGGACAAAATATACTAGAGGACGTTGAAGTCGAATGTATGAAGGACAAAATATAATAGAGGACGCTGAAGTCGAAGGTATGTAGGACAAATTATTATGTTCGAAGGTACGTATGCAGGACAAATAATCTTATAGGTAGTAAAATAGACATGGACAACAAATTAATTAGTTTTTTTTAATCTTCACGATTTAGGACTTTCAATGGGCACCACAAAAATTTATGAAGGTACCAGCATTTCAAAACTGTATTTTGTAAAAGTTTGATTTTTATTAAACTGTATAACATTTTCATCCTAAGAGAAAACATAAGACAAAACGAAGCTTTTTTTTCCATATATCTTATCTGAGATAAAAGAACCAAATATCTTTTACGGACGTTTAGCTCAAAAGTAAGAAGGAAAAAATAGTATAGAGGACTATAGAATTCAAAAGGTAAATAGTATAGAGGACTTTAGAATTTAAAAGGTAAATAGGACAAAATAGTATAGAGAACTATAGAATTCAAAAGGTAACTAGGACAAAATAGTATGAATTTAAAAGGTAAATAGGACAAAATAGTATAGAGAACTATAGAATTCAAAAGGTAACTAGGACAAAATAGTATAGAGGACTTTAGAATTTAAAAGGTAACTAGGACAAAATAGTATAGAGGACTTTAGAATTTAAAAGGTAAATAGGACAAAACATTTCATAAGGCCGGAGTTGTCGAAAGTAAATAAAAAAAATATCAAAGATCAATATCAAAAGGTAATGATTACCATGGAAAAAACTTTACTTAAGAAATTCTTTAAAAATAATTTTCACTTTTAATTTTATGTTATCACTGTCGTTACTTTTGATGTTGATATACACAAAATGTTTTTAATTGTTAAAAAAATTAGCTGGAAAAATATAGGACAGGAGAGCCCTAAATTGTTCATATTCTGATTTCTCAGAAACCTTAATGACACCTAATGGAGATATTTAGATTTTTGTCTATATTTATATAAGATAAAAAACAAAATTATCTAGCTAAAGGTTTATTAGTATGAAGGTTTTCAAGATATAAACACAGACCAAATTTTGTAAATTTTTATTAACTGTACTTTAAAATGTCTCTTAATTTTCATTTTACTGGAACCCTGCACACAGCATTACATACAAACGGAAAAAAAATATTTTAATGGATATTTAAAGAATTCCGCACCAAATTCAATTTGTTTATAAACAGGGTTACCCACAAAGGATGAGACTGTAAAGATCCAAAAATCTAAAAATATGACGATTTGAAGCTTTCTTATGGTTTCTGCACTCATTTGAGTATTTTGATGGTTTACTAAATGATTAAGCACAGAAATAAACCAGTTTTGGCCTTAAAGAAATCTGAATGCAAGGAAATGGACTGAACAAATTCCGTAGAACTGTCTATGAAGTCTCATCCTTGTGGGTAACCCTGTATTCAATGGATTAAATATCCAGTCGATTAAAAGTAGTAGATCTAATTTCTCTCCTACTCATACATATCTTTGCACCATGTCGTTAACCTAATGATTTCTGACAAAGTTTGAAATTCCAAAGGTTTAAACCATCATGCTGCAAAGATAAAGAGATTGGTACCTTTAATTTTTAGCAAGTAATCTATTTTTTTTACTATTATATCAGAAGTTTTTTATCTGCTCTATTGTTAATTAATGAATATCTCCCACGTTTGTAAGACTTAAAGAATAGACAATTCACAATGGACAAGGAAGACGACATCTCGAAACTTGTATATTGTATTTTCATGTTGTTTTTATAGCAAATAATTTTACATTTGCGTTGAAATCAACTTATAAGGTAAAATTGGTCTGTGTACACTGCACTGTTGCTGTACGTGTTACATGTTCATTGGACTATTCGAAATTATAACTTAAGTTTGACAGTTGTCTTGCTATTCAACAGTTAGATAGATAGATAGATAGATAGATAGATAGATAGATAGATAGATAGATAGATCAATAGATAGATAGATAGATAGATAGATAGATAGATAGATAGATAGATAGATAGATAGATAGATAGATAGATAGATAGATAGATAGATAGATAGACAGATAGACAGATAGATAACGTTTATTGCTCAAAAATACATGTATCTATCTATACAGAACGAGTTTACAATTTACTTAATAATTATTTCAACAGTACAAGTACAAAGCAATTAGGTGGAATTAGCTCTTGGCTATTTGGATTATGTTTTCAATAATGATAACAAAACATTTCATTTAAACAGATTTCAGAGGAGAACTATTAGAGATCAGGGTGCGATTTTATTCTATGCAAAATAGTTTATACACTTGTTAGAATAACCAGATTTAAAAATAATTTTTTGACATGTACAAAACAAATATCAACATATATTAAAACAAATTTAATCAGTTTTAAAATTAATAACAATTCAGTTTATAACACATTTTAATATAATTTTCAAAAAGAGAGTTTAACATTTTTATATATAATTAGAGAGTTGCTTCTTTTTAAGTCAAGAGGCAGGTTATTCCACATCTTAAGAAGAGAGTTTAACGGTAAATACTGTAGAAAGCTCAATTTGATAATGTCAAGTTGGCAATGAAAAGATCTTTCAAAGTTTCCAAGGAGAGGAGGAAGGCCAACCACAACAATTTCTCGTCCGAGCCACATTCTCCTCATTTTCACGTCCGAGCCACCTCGAAATCCTCGTCCTTTCAAATCCTTCCAGATAAAACTATTTCTTAAGAATCAAGCCACGTTAGGGCATAAATGAAATATCAAATTTTTGTAAATCGAAAAATAAAGTTTCAATTGAATTAAAGATTTCACGTTTAATGTCTTTAAAAATGTTCACCTTTTTTACGCCCATTTTAAGATATTCCTGGTGTAGAATGCCGCAAATAAGTTTATAGAACTTCAATCTTTTTTGTTAACAATAGTTAAAACCATAGAATTTTTCCGGGTGGTTCCATTTGGAAAATTATAGGCAGAGGTATGCCGAATATTTTGCTATTTATTTTATATCACAAAGGTTAGCCATTATGGAGGCAGAAGAGATTTAAGTTTTACCTCAATAAAGTTTGACATCATTCTCATGGGTTTGAAGATTCCAACATGATATAATCATTGCAATACTTAGTCTATCCATATTTTATGCCCTAACGTGGCCAGATTTTTAAAAAATAGTTTTATCTTCAAGAATTGCAAACTTTTTAACACAAAATAATCGAAGGACGAGGATTCCGAGGTGGCTCGGACGAGAAAATGAGGAGAATGTGGCTTGGACGAGAAATTGTTGTGGCTGGCCTTCCTCACCTCTTCCATTTCAAAAATGTTTTCAAGAGAGAGAGGACGAAGTTTATTTGAATATTTATACATGAATATAGCTTGGTTAAAGTCTACCAGATCATTAATCTTTAAAATCTTAAACTTAAGGAAAAGAGGATCACTATGAGACATAGCATTTGAGTTATTAAATAATCTTATTCTGCGTTTCTGTTAAATGTGAATTTGTTTCATTTCTTTCTTCCCCAGGCTGAAATTCCATATTCTATATATGATCGAAATAAAGAGTTGTAAATGGTTAGTTTAATATTACTAGGAAGAATATTTTTTACACTTGACAAAGCAAAAACTGCACTGGATGCTTTGTTTTTAACCGACTTAAGATGATGGTTCTTGAAGATTTTCGTCTAAATGAACACCTACAAACTTAAAAGATTCATTTTTGCATCCAGTTCCTACTCTTTCTATATCTTTATTATCTATAAGAAGTTTAAGAGAGTTGAGATTTAAATCTTCTTTTTTCTTTTCGAAATGAAAATGAATATACTTGGTTTTAGACGCATTCAAAGTCAGTTTATTTGCTTTAAAAACCCGTCTTCAATTTTAGAGAGCTCAAAATTTTCCAAATCATATAAATATTGTAAGCTTTTTGAAGAAAGTAGCAGAGTTCTATGCGATTTGCTGATTTATTTTTTACAATATAAATTAATGTATCTAAATGATAAGTAAAAAACATTCTTATCATTGATAACTTTTATATTTATTCGGACTTTCTGTTTTAAAGTACAGCTTTCAGTAAAAATCCGCTTAGACACGAATTTCCCAGATTTCTCTGAATTTTACCCAATTTTACCTGTAGTAAGCTAGACGTTTCATCAATTAGAAAATATTACATGATATTTCAATATTCCTTTCAAAATTATCAGAATTTATCAATAAGCAGAAACTGAACTTTAATATTTTAAAATAAAAAAAAATTAAATTATTAGTGTTCTGCAAGGAGGATATTGCTTATTAACAAAAATCGTAGATTTTTAAAAATGATTTTTTGATAATTTCAGTTAGAAATTGTTTAAAATTTAAGTTAGAAAAAGTTTAACTTTTGATATAAAAACCCTTGCACTGTCACAAGCTGATTAAAAGGTTTGTTTTCAATACATTGTTTATCTGAAATGTTTAAAAGAAACCAAATTTAAAGGGATTGTAAGCGTAATAGTACCACAAAATGTGAATGTTCTTGACTCGAAAAGTGTTTAATTCTGATAATTTCTCAACTGCTTCTTGTAAGCAAAATATGCGCATTTCACTTTTGCCAATAAAATTAAATAAACAAAAACACGGAGATCTAATTCATACAATTGATTAGACACAGCTTTAAAGGATACCGTTGTAAATCGGGCATTGTCACCTCTGCATGGAGGGGTACTTGAGACTACGCTTACTGCCCCTTTAAAGGGACAGACCGGCTATGTAAGGTAGTTAAACTGAGTATGCAGTGTTGTGGGCAAATTCTTTAGGATTCATTTGAGATATATAAAACGTTTCAACGATGTATAATTACTGAGTTTGAGTACATAGTCCATGTTTAAAATCAATGCTAGAATAAATCATTTCGTTTTCATCATTAAATCGAATTTATTATTTTCAATGAATTTTTTCCGCAGATTTTTTAAAAATTCTTCAATAAAAATTTCAGAAAATCTGTAGAAAATCTTTGTGAATAATCAGAGATTATTGAAACAAATAATTGCATAAGATTACTTATTTTCGATGATAAGATTTATTCTTTATTTAATAATTAAAAAAAAAACAATTCTAAAAACGTATCCACCCAAAAGTACGATTTTGAACGTCGACTTTGCGCTCAATCTTAGGATTTACAGATCTTTAAAAAGTTTTATATGTCTCAAATGAATCCTAAACAACACTGCATACTCAGTTCAACTACCTTACATAGCCGGTCTGTCCCTTCAATTAAAAGTTTTGTTGATTTCTAGAACGGAAACTACTATAAAAAGTATAGAAAATTTCGAAATATGCGGAGACAGAAAAAATAATGTTATCTTTAAATCAATTGAAAATGTCGATATCTAAAAATAGCCTGATATTCAATAGTAGAGCGGGAACCAAAACCACGGGAATTCTAATTTTTGAACTTTTAACACTTTTAAAGATATATCAGTTGTAACAATTGCGAAATTAAGACATTTCATTAGTAAAATATGGAATAACAAAGACAAGTTTTATTTCACAGTTTTTGGATATAAAATAGTAAGATGTACAATTAGCAACAGAGTAGAGAATATTATATAGAGGGCTCATACCGTATTAATATAATGTACTGCGTATAATTTGAGAATATTATATAGAGGGATCATACCGTATCGTATAATTTGAGAATATTATATAGAGGGCTCATACCGTATTAATATAATGTACTGCGTATAATTTGAGAATATTATATAGAGGGATCATACCGTATTAATATAATGTACTGCGTATAATTTGAGAATATTATATAGAGGGATCATACCGTATTAATATAATGTACTGCGTATAATTTGAGAATATTATATAGAGGGGTCATACCGTATTAATATAATGTACTGCGTATAATTTGAGAATATTATATAGAGGGCTCATACCGTATTAATATAATGTACTGCGTATAATTTGAGAATATTATATAGAGGGATCATACCGTATTAATATAATGTACTGCGTATAATTTGAGAATATTTACATTAATCTCATACTTTGTGGCTAAACCCTGGATATCAATAATACAAAGTTTTTATATAAATAATGACAATTTTCAGGAAAACTACTTGCTTAGTCGACATTTAAAAATAACATAATAATTAACAGAATTATTATTATGTTGATTTATTTAAACATAAAGATAAAGATGCAAAAAAATTTGTTTAGATAATAGTGATATGATATTGATAATTATAGTATTGTGTAATCATAATAATGATAATAATAATAATAATAATAATAATAATATTATTATTATCTAGGAGAAAACAAGATTCTAGTGGGACGGGATGGACTCTTTGCCAGGTTTCCATTCCTCTCTGAGAAAAGATTAACCATGAACCATCTCATATCCAACAGGTAACTATCTTATATATATTAAACCTATCTAGAGAAGCTACGTGGTCACCAAGTCATAAAGGTCTTATCGCATACATTTAACCTTCTTCTGTTGTCTAGTTAGCAGTGAACCACATATTTTATATTTATGACTCTTGAAACAATAATTACAGAATTAGAGTTCGTATTGTGTTCAGTGTCTCTGTCTAAGCCTGAAACGAAAAAAATGAATATAAAATAAAAAAGAATCCTGCAAAAATCAAATAAAACTTTTTGTAGAAACTTGTTTAAAAATTAATTTTATGGAAAGTGGCAAGTTCAGAAAACGACGCAATAGATCTTGCAGGTTATTAACAACGCAATTAGGTTTTTAAAAAAGCAATAAAAACTCGGATATTGCATTTTTTGTCCATTACGCTTCTAGTTTTTTTTTCTAGTATCTCGAAGGCATTTTTCTTATCAATTCTTCTGTCACTTAGATGGAATTGCAAGATCCTTAAACTTTTGACATTTTTGGAATTTTATTTCAAGCTCTCAGCCAGGATCAACAAAAACAATTAACCTTGAAAAAAGCACAATAAAACAAGGGCATATATTGGGAGGGGGGGGGGGCTCGGGGGAATATTTTATCCTTTGCTTTTAAACTCAAGGTGTTTAACGAGTCCGCCCCCCCCTTCGTTCTGTCTCCGCCCCTTCAATAAAACTTCAAATGAGAATGAGAACATGAAAATTCATTTAAGCTTTGCAACCTACGTGACTTTGGACATTTTTCGGGACATCAAATATAAAAACAACAAATTAAAATTGTAAAAATAAGTTTTTGTAGGATATTGAGAATTTAATTTAATAACACTATGTATAGTGCAAGATAATCATATTTATGTACAAGTTAACAATATCTATGTACAGGCTAATAATATTTATGTACAGGCTAATAATATTTATTTACAGGCTAATAATATTTATGTACAGGCTAATAATATTTATTTACAGGCTAATAATATGTATGTACAGGCTAATAATATTTATGTACTTGCTAATAATATTTATGTACAGGCTAATAACATTTATATACAGGCTAATAACATTTATGTACTATGTATAGTGCAACATAATCATATTTATGTACAAGTTAATAATATCTATTTACAGGCTAATAATATTTATATACTGGCTAATCATATTTATTCACAGGCTATTAATATCTATGCACATTGTACAGGCTAATAATATTTATGTACAAGCCAATATTATTTATGTACAAGCCAATATTATTTATGTAAAGACTAATACTACTTATGTACAGGCGAAGAATATTTATGAAGAGGCTAATAACATCTATGTACAGGCTAAAAAATGTTTATGTACAGGCTAATACTATTTATTGGACAGGCAGATCATATTTATTTACTAGCTAATAATATGTATGTAACAATATTTTGTGTACAGGCTAATACTATTTATGTACAGGCTGACAATATTATGTACTAAGCTAATGATATTTATGGACAGGCTGATAATATGTATGTACAGGCTAGTAATATTTCTGTAAAGGCTAACAATATGTATGTACAGGCTAATAATATTTATGTAAAGGCTAAAAAAATGTATGTACAGGTTAATAATATGCATATACACTTACAAGCTAATATTTATGTAGAGGCTAAAAATATTCATGTACAGGCTAACAATATTTATGTTCAAGCTAATCATATTTATGTACAGGCTAATCATATTTATGTACAGGCTAATAATATTATGTACAGGCTAACAATATTTATGTACAGGCTAAAAATAAGTACGTACAGGTTAACAATATTCATGTACAGGCTAATAATATTTATGCACAGGCTAACAATATTTATGTACAGGCTGAAAATATTTATGTACAAACTAACAATATTTCTGTAGAGGCTATTAATATGTATGTACAGGCAAACAATATTTATGTACAGACTAACAACATTTATGTACAGGCAAACATTCCTGACCATGTACCAAGAATTCCTGATGTGTTTCCCGAAGGAGGAATACTTACTCGACATATTCCAGTACATTAGAATATCAGCTGATGACATTTTAGGTCTCAACGAAAAAGAGGTAAGAACATATTTTTACAGGATCAGGTCGCAAATTAAGCTTTTTTCTTAAAGGGAGAGTTAACAAGGTTTTGCAATCTTTGATTTGTTTAAAGGGAAACACAAAAATCAATTTCTGTGATATAAAGAGTCTTGTGCCACGTTTCAAAATAAAGTGGTTTAATATTTTCGTAGATTTCTATCAAGAAATCTAACACCTGCCTCAAATTCTAAGTTTTTTCCATCCCTGATGGTGTAAACCTGTTATATTTCGAACTTTGACTAAAAATATACAGTGTGGTATTAGAAAGTTAGATTTTGATGAGAGTAATCTGTTTCTTTTCAAAATTATTTTTATATTTGTTTTGTGTAGGATGATAGTTCTCCAGAACACCCTCTGGACTCTATAGCTGTTGGTATCCTGGAGGCCAGGAGCTTTCTCTTCTTTTATGACGAGGACGAGGACAAGGAGAACAAGGCCACCAAACCAACCAAGGTTCAACGGTCACACAGTGACCGGGCTTCATCCAGGAAAAACTACGAAACCCAAAAGTCCGTTCAAAAACATGATTCCTTAAATAATAATATAATCAAAGATTCTCATATGAAGTCCAAATGCCCGAAAATAGACACAAACGGCCGAAGTGACAAACCTCCGATTAAGATAAAAGTCCAAAACAAGTTTTTCCAGCATGTAAAAAAATCTCAAGACGATGAGGTGGTCCCACCCTTACAGCTGAAGAAAAAGGATGGGCCCCGAAACCCCAACGCTAAACCTCTCCGTGCTGCCCTGGTGAACGCCAAGTATGTAACGTACACCCGGATCACCAACGACCTCGCCGTTCTGTTTTTCACGAGCGGGAACTCGATGCTCCGGCGGTTCTACATGATAAAGATGGTGGAGACCTTCGCGGAGACACTGGGGATAACTCTGAGCAACTTGGGAATAGATACCGATATGTTCCATCTCAGTTGGACCAATTTCGTCAAGGAGTTTCAGACCCACATCCTATACGGGTTTCTAGTCGGGGTCCTCGTCGCTATGGCGAATACCGACGTGAAGGAGTTGAATGATTTGATCAAAGAGTCAGGAAGGACAAGCACAGTAGTGGTTGACGGTCCAACAACTAAAGCAGAGGACGCAGAGTTTAACAATAGGTAAGGACGCACAATTCTTTTTTTGCATGGCAAAAAGTTTTTTCCCTTGGTTTCATAAAAATCTATACTTTGCTCTTTTTGCGTCTTTACTCTAAAAATAATGTTACGCAAAAGTTTAAATATGCATCTCTAATTTATATTGTATTTACCCAAAATGCACGCATTTTCTTGAAATTCCTGTCCGACTCCATTTTATTATATTGTTTGCAGCGCGGCTGTATTTTGTCACAATTAGGAGTGTTTTATTTGCGGCATTGTTGGCCATTTAGAGGATCTTGTACTTTTAACCTTGAAAATTTGAAATTGAAATTAAAAATAGAGAATCCGGCCGAAACAAGAACTCGGCTTTCTCTCACATTATTTTGTTTTTTTGCTGTGTTGTTTAAAAAACACAGGGCACAAGATATTGGGCCTATCTGAAGCCAATAATACACAAATTATGTCAGTCAAAAATTAGAAACAAAACATGAAATTTCATAAGCAAAACTTAGTTTTTTGTTTATGCCTCAACTGTGGTCTGACTTTTATTACTTGATATTACGTTTATAGTTTATATGTATACGTTTAGAAAATAAAATATATGTAAATTAAATAACCAAAACTAAAAAAAAGAGAGTAGTAAATATTTTCCTGCTTGTATTCTGCTGGTATTCTGCTGGTATTCTGCTTGTATTCTGCTTGTATTCTGCTTGTATTCTACTTGTATTCTACTTGTATTCGGCTTGTATTCGGCTTGTATTCGAATTGTATTCTACTTGTATTCTGCTTGTATTCTACGTGTTTTCTGCTTGTATTCTACTTGTATTCTACTTGTATTCTACTTGTATTCTACTTGTATTCTACTCGTATTCTGCTTGTACTCAGCTTGTATTCTGCTTGCATTCTGCTTGCATTCTGCTTGTATTCTGCTTGTATTCTGCTTGTATTCGGCTTGTATTCTGCTTGTATTCTGCTAGTATTCTACTTGTATTCTGCTTGTATTCTGCTTTTATTCTGCCTGTATTCTGCTTGTATTCTACTTGTATTCTGCTTGTATTCTACTTGTATTCTACTTGTATTCTGCTTGTATTCTGCTTGTATTCTGCTTGTATTCGGCTTGTATTCTACTTGTATTCTGCTTGTATTCTTCTTGTATTTTGCTTGTATTCTACTTGTATTCTAATTGTATTCTACTTGTATTCTATTTGTATTCTACTTGTATTCTACTTGTATTCTACTCGTATTCTGCTTGTACTCTGCTTTTATTCTGCTTGTATTCTGCTTGTATTCTGCTTGTATTCGCCTTGTATTCTACTTTTATTCTGCTGATATTCTACCTGTATTCTGCTTGTATTCTACTTGTATTCTACTTATATTCTATTTGTATTCTACTCGTATTCTGATTGTACTCTGCTTGTATTCTGCTTGCATTCTGATTGTATTCGGCTTGTATTCTGCTTGTATTATGCTTGTATTCTGCTTGTATTCTGCTTGTATTCTACTTGTATTCGGCTTGTATTCTGCTTGTATTCTGCTAGTATTCTACTTGTATTCTGCTTGTATCCTGCTTGTATTCTGCTTGTATTCTGCTTGTATTCGGCTTGTATTCTACTAGTATTCTACTTATATTCTGCTTGCATTCTGCTTGTATTCTGATTGTATTCTATGCTTGTATTCTACTTGTATTCTACTTGTATTCTAATTGTATTCTGCTTGTATTTTGCTTGTATTCGGCTTGTACTCTACTGGTATTCTGTTTGTATTCTGCTTGTATTCTGCTTGTATTCTACTTGTATTCGGCTTGTATTCTGCTTGTATTCTTCTTGTATTCTACTTGTATTCTGCTTGTATTCTGCTTGTATTCTACTTGTATTCTGCTTGTATCCTGATTGTTTTCTGCTTGTATTCTGCTTGTATTCTGCTTGTGTTCTGCTTGTATTCTACTTGTATTCTGCGTGTATTCTACTTGTATTCTGCTTGTATTCTGCTTGTATTCTGCTTGTATTCTGCTTGTATTCTGCTTGTATTCTGCTAGTATTCTGCTTGTATTATACTAGTTTTCTGCTTGTATTCTGCTTGTAATCTACTTGTATTCTACTTGTATTCTGCTTGTATCCTGCTTGTATTCTACTTAATGTCAGTATTAAAGGATACCATATCGTAAATCGGACATGCCACTCTATATATCGAGAATCACATGAAATTACGTCCACTGTCCCTTTAACCACCTTGTTCCTTAGGTTTGTAAAGCTTGGTGGAGAAAGAATAAGTTTCCTCCTGGAGATGATGAAGGATATGGCCGCATACGTCGAGTCCAAGGACTTTGAGTTGGGGCTTCCCGTCACCAACTTCGCAAGGTATCACGAGCTCTGGTCAATGCAGGACGAGGGAGGGGAGGCGGAGAGCAGTTACGAGGAGGAGGAAGAGGAGGAGCAGGAGGTGGAGGAGGAGGAAGAATAGTTCGAGGGGCGGATTAAAACTTTTGTTTGATAACTTCGAGGGGGAAAAAAGACAGAAACTTGATTCTTAAAATTTATACATGTAATTGTAATATGAAAACTTTGTGATATTGTACAGTAGCAATATATGTACACACTTATAGCTTATGTACTCTACTGTTTTGTGTTGTACTTTATATTACTCGACCGCGTAACAGTACATGGAATTATTCCAAATCTAAAGTAAAATTATGATATCTAAATTTAGAAATACAAATAGAAAAAAAACCTTAAACTTTTCTCTTTCACTTGACTTTATTGCCGATTCAAAAGTACAAAAAAATATATTAATTTTACCAACATTTCCCGTCTTTGCCAGTTTTTGGTTTATCTAAAAGTGCTTATGTAATGTGTGTGAGTACTGGGAATTGCCGAAAAACGTCAGAAATTTCTAAATGTTTTAAATTATGCATCGATTCTTCGAAATATTTTGCTATACTAACTAGCAATGTGCAACTAAAAAATGACATTTCTTAAATGTAATGAATATGGATTTCAGATGTATATAATAATATAAATTGTAAACTTCAATTGTAAAATCTTAAAATGTCTTTTATACTAATATTTTTATTGCATTACGTTATTATTAAAGTAAATTAACTTTTATCATGTTTATCATTTAAATAAATATTATGAAGTCTGCAAAACAAGATTCAGTTAGATACTCTAAAGTTATTTTTAAGTCACTTTAAAGTGACTTTTAAGTCACTTTTAACTGTGTTGTTAGTATTCCTCGAAAGTCTCAACTTAATTTTAATGGAAAAAGATTTATCCATCTATCCATCTATTCATCTATTCATCTATCCCCTTTCATTTCTATCTATTTTTCTCTCTCTATAAACCTGTTTATCTATCCTATCCTATCTTTCAATCTATATATCTAACAATCAATTATATCTATGTGTATATTCTATTTTCTATCTGTTTATTTTTTATTCTTTTTACATATCTATCTATCTATTTATCTATCTGTCAACCTATCTATTCATCAATTCTATCTATCTGTCTATCCATCTATCTCTCCTAACTATCTATCTATCTATCCTATCCATTTATCCATCCTGTCTTTCTATCTATCCTATATATCTATCCTGGCTATCTTTCTAGCCTGTCTATCCAATCTGTCTTTCTAACTTTTCTGTTTATCTTTCTATATATATATCTATCCTCTCTACCCCGTCTATATATCTTACTATCTATCTATCCTGCATATCTATCTATTTATTCTACATATCTATATATATATCCTATTTATCTATCTATCTATCCTATCTATCCATCTTTACCTCTCGGAAACGTCAAGCTTTCCTTCAATACTAGAAAATTTATTTTATTCTCGCGTCAGCGTTATTCTAGATATTCTAGATATTCTTAATGTTCTAGATATTCTAGATATTCTAGATATTCTAAATATTCTAGATGTTCTAGATATCCTAGATATCCTTAATGTTTTAGATATTCTTAATGTTCTAGATATTCTTAATGTTCTAGATATTCCTTATGTTCTAGATATTCTTAATGTTCTAACTATCCTTAATGTTCTAGATATTCTTAATGTTCTAGATATTCTTAATGTTCTAGATATTCTTAATGTTCTAAATGTTCTTATTGTTCTAGATATTCTAAGTATTCTAGATATTCTAAGTATTCTAGATATTCTAAGTATTCTAGATATTCTAAGTATTCTAGATATTCTTGTTATTCTTAATTTTCTAGATATTTTAGACATTCTAGATATTCTAGATATAATCTAAATATTCTAGATATTTTAGACATTCTAGATATTCTAGATATATTTTAGATATTCTAGATATTCTAGATATCTAGATATTCTGAATATTCTAGGTATTCTAGATTTCTAGACATTCTAGATTTCTAGATATTCTAGATTTCTAGATATTCTAGATTTCTAGATATTCTAGATATTCTAGATTTCTTGATATTCTAAATATTCTGGATATTCTAGATGTTTTAGATATTCTTAATGTTCTAGATATTCTAGATTTCTAGATATTTTGATATTCTGGATATTTTAGATATTATGGATATTCTAGATACTTAAGATATTCTTAATGTTATAGATATTCTATATACTCTAGATATTCTAGATATTCTAGATATTCTGGATATTCTAAATATTCTAGATGTTAGATATTATAGATATTCTGGATATTATAGATATTCTATATATTCTAGTTATTCTAGATATTCTATATATTCTAGTTGTTCTAGATATTCTAGATATTCTGGATATTCTAAATATTCTTGATGTTAGTTATTATAGATATTCTGGATATTCTAGATATTCTAGATGTTAGTATTGACAGATATTCTGGATATTATAGATATTCTATATATTCTATATTCTATACATTCTATATTCTAAATGTTAGATATTCTATATATTCTAGATGTTAGTTATTATAGATATTCTGGATATTCTAGATATTCTAGATGTTAGTTATTATAGATATTCTGGATATTATTGATGTTCTAGATGTTAGTTATTATAAATATTCTGGATATTATAGATGTTCTAGATGTTAGTTATTATAGATATTCTGGATATTATAGATATTCTAGATGTTAGTTATTGTAGATATTTTGGATATTATAGATGTTCTTGATATTATAGATATTCTTGATATTATAGATATTCTTGATATTATAGATATTCTTGATAATATAGATATTTTGGATATAATAGATGTTCTAGATGTTAGTTATTACAGATATTCTGGATATTATAGATGTTCTAGATGTTAGTTATTATAGATATTCTGGATATTATTGATGTTCTAGATGTTAGTTATTATAGATATTCTGGATATTATAGATGTTCTAGATGTTAGTTATTATAGATATTCTGGATATTATAGATGTTCTAGATGTTAGTTATTATAGATATTCTGGATATTATAGATATTTTGGATATAATAGATGTTCTAGATGTTAGTTATTACAGCTATTCTGGATATTATAGATGTTCTAGATGTTAGTTATTATAGATATTCTGGATATTATTGATGTTCTAGATGTTAGTTATTGTAGATATTTTGGATATTATAGATGTTCTAGATGTTAGTTATTGTAGATATTTTGGATATTATAGATATTCTTGATATTATAGATATTTTGGATATAATAGATATTCTAGATATTAAATACATTCTTTCACTTTTTACGTACTTAATATTATCCTGCCAAGTTTTCCAAAACACATACTATTTATAGTCCAGGGTGTCCTACCTAGACCTACAAAACACATACTATTTATAGTCCAGGGTGTCCTACCTAGACCTACAAAACACATACTATTTATAGTCCAGGGTGTCCTACCTAGACATACAAAACACATACTATTTATAGTCCAGGGTGTCCAAAACTAGACTTACAAAACACATACTATTCATAGTCCAGGGTGTCCTAACCTAGACTTACAAAACGCATACTATTTATAGTCCAGGGTGTCCTAACCTAGATTCACAAAACACATACTATTTATAGTCCAGGGTGTCCTAACCTAGACTTAGAAAACACATACTATTTATAATCCAGGATGTCCCAACCTGGACTTACAAAACACATACTATTTATAGTCCAGGGTGTCCTAATCTAGACTTAGAAAACACATACTATTTCTAGTCCAGGGTGGTCTAACCTAGACTAACAAAACATGGCCCTTTCACCACCAGTTATTACCTCTCGCCCTGCTTTTAAACACTGATCATTTGACACAAAATTGAAGAAAAAAATAATTAAAATGCAGTCCTTCATGTATCATGCAGGGAAATTTTCATCTTTCTAAACATCCCAGGGAAAGATTTTACAGGTTCTTTCCTGGGAGGTTAATTGAGTCCTTATAATTAGCCATTTCTTGGGATCAATTTGGACCCATAAAGCTGTTAAGAATTGTAAAATCTACCTCCTAGTTGCTTTACAGAGCTGGGTGTGACCTAAAGACGATTATTCGAGATCAATTCCATATTGAATAATCGTCCTATAAACCTTAATCAAAATCTAAGAGGGTCGGTTTATTTGAAAATCAGTTAGGATACATGCTGTCGTTAACAGCTTCAGAAAAGGTTTCATATGGCCTATTCAGTATGCACAAGTCCAAATTGAACCGGAAAAAACTGGAAACTGGTTTTTAGAGAAATAGAGTTGTTTGTTGGCCTCTTTGTCTCCTTGTTACCCAGCAACCAAAGTATATAATTATAACAGGGAAAAAATAATCAATTTTCACAACCAACTAATTATCTCTGCTCTCTTATTCATTAAGGTGGCAGTAAATGTTTAACAGAAAAAGAATAAACTAGATAACTAGTTATAGTTGAAAGAACTAAAATATACAATGTAACGCCAGAACTTGGTCTTAACAAAAACAGTTTTTGATAACAAGCAACCATCACCAGGATGAAATTGTTAAAACTGTGTATCTACACTTTTTCAGTAGTGTACTGTTGTTTGATACTGTTTGTATATGTAAACCCTAACATGTATACATTTACTGTAGACATGTTTAGCTCCATCCTATCCTTCACTGCTTGTGTTACTTTCCAAGCTTTTCTTGGCAGCCAAACTCAGAAAACTTTACTTGGGGGGCTTGGAATTCAGTTCTTATTCACGGATGAGTTATCAATAATCCACTTTGCAGTTATCAGAATAGTTACCAACTTGGCACATACAGGTTTGAACTCATTCTACTCGGGAAATCTGGAAATCGCCAACTATGTGCTAAATAACAGACCAATAGGATGCTGTGTATGTGCTTCACTGTTGACAATGTCTGGAGCTCGTCTTGTTCTTATTGCTAGTCCTGGTTTCTATCAAGGTATCAACCAGAAGCTATATCTACGACTTTCAGCAGTGTTTATCACGTCTGTAGTTGTCTCAGATTTCTTAATCAATCATATAAGATGCCTCCTGATTCACTCTAACAATTATGAGACTCCTACTGTTTCTTACTTTAGAAAAGAATTCAGCATTACTTATCAAATGCCCAATCATTCCTTATCTAATACTACTTCTTCTGTAGAATTCCAAAGACAACCTTCTTATGTCATGCCTACGGATTCAGAATGTACTGAGATCAAAATAATAGGAGCCATGATTTTTCTGTCAGCTTTGCTTGAGGGTATCAAAATTGCCATTTATTTTGTTAGAATATTTAGAAAAATTAAAAAAACTTCCCCAACTCCGAAGACGCAGAGTGACAAGAAGAGCAGACCAAATCAACAAAAAATAACCAATCTGAAAAGATCAAATTCATCCGGACAAATCCTGACTCTACCCAACAGTCACAAACCATTAACTAACAACTTTTCTAAAGTATTCAGGAATGAAGATCTACATGCAGGATCATCGTCTACAAGACTATCTGCTTTACCAAATTTAGAGATGTTGGGATAAAAGAGAGGGAAAGGGCTCACTTACCTGCTTATCATACAAGCACAGAAATGGGAACTGTTAAACCATCTGAATCACATAATTCAGAAGCACTTGGCAATAATGAAAGGCAGCACACCCTTTCAATGGTAAGTGATGAA